GATGAACGGGTTGGCAGCATGGGTGTTTTCATGGTTTTCCCCATGTATAAAGAAGATTCCTAAGGGAACATGCCTTCGTGGAGGGTTTTCTAGATATTCGTCTCTTTAAGCAGATAGCCCTTGCGTGCTTAACTCGTAATCAAATAAACTAAACCTAACTACAAAAATTTAATGCTGTAGATAGATGTCTTGGTTCAGATTTAAAGTGTGTGATCACATTTATATGTGAAAGTATGACACTTGTGGATGAATAAGAAGCAACTCCTGGTCTGAATCACTGTCCAGTAAAAGTGGGGGTTTCTGGATAAGCTGGTGAAACTAGATTAGGAAAATGTAGTTAATTTTAATTATTTCTCTACATTTGTGGTCTCGCGCGTCTTTCTGCGTGAAAGAATTGTGTAATAGTAAATTTCTTTGTGTTTATTTAACTACAATCAATTTATGTATTAACTATTATTATATTTTTAAATGTTTAAAAAACAGACATTCGCCTTAGGTATAGAGTTCTTTGAGATAATAAAGGATCTAGTCCTGTATTCTTCCCATTTTTTCTGCTCCGACAGTGCTGCATTTCTCCATTCCCCCATTTTCATCTTTTGGAGTGTTTCCAGTTTTTACGCGATCCCCGCTCTCCTTTATATGAGTTATATTTCCACTTAACCTCCTGATTGCAGATGATTGTCGAGATAGAAGCAATCTTAGTCTTTCCGTAGTCTTATTTAAGCATATAATGCTATTTTTATTTGAAATTAACCATTCATATATTCATATATTACTAGTTTTCTAGAAGAAGAAGAAAAAAAAAAAAAAAAAGACGACCGTCGACGGTCTAAATCATTCATGAGAAATTTCTAGTTGAAGTTTGTTACAGGAAGCTGTATTTTTGAATCATAACACGATTTTTTTAAAGCAAAACTGCCTCTTTTTATTGACTGCGCAGATCAGATTCATAAGCAAGTTCTTAAATGAGAACAAAATTATATAGATAAATCTCCATTTGGCAACCATGAATGTACAGATATGCGAACGTTATTTTGAAATCATCCTCATGCAGTATGAAAATTAAGTATGAAATGTTCTATTTTCATAGCTACATGTGCTATTCTTTGCATTTTAGGTGCTAATGTAGTCGTATTCTTAGTCTAATCAAATTCAACCAGACTTGAATGCATATTTCAGCGGTACTTTCCTTTGTGTATGTGTGAGTATATAGTTATATACGATAAAAACTTTTACGCTATACTACACTTAAATGAAATTAAAGTGTGTTTCAGTGATCTAGAATCTGTTTCATTCACTATCATTTTGTCTGTAGGGCAGGTTAAATAATTTTGACCATAATTGATTCGCGTATTTAATAATTTCATATCCTTATTGTATTGTCATACCTGAGTAATAAAGAAAAAATGCTGAATTATCCACTCAGTCCTTTTTTTTTTAAACACTATTTTTCTGCTCGTATATTCTTGCGCAGTAATTCATTTCTCGAGTTCGGGAAAAAATTTAACCTAGAAATACCCTTGCCGTGCAGTGCCAAAGACTTCGTGGCGACAGACCCATTTAAAACCTACCTGGCAGAAGGCCCCCCAGCGCATATGGAATCGGAAGGGCACACCTCCAGTTCACCAATTGGTCGGGAAACTCGCCTGATGATGACGAAAGCTCCCGCGTTCTGACGTATTGCTTCTGACTCGTTCCGCTTTTCCCCAGCTTCCTTTGGTTGCCACATCCTTTTAATCATTTCGAATATTATGACTTTTTTTTAAATCCTCCGATTATTAATTTCTGTGAAGCTTCAGTTTGTAACGCCGTCTAAAAAAGAACAGAGAATTTAAAAATTGGAGTATGATACACAAATAATAAAGATTATGTAGTTAGTAATTATGGTCTGTGGATTGATTGTCAAAGAGATGATTTAAAAGCAGTTTGGCCATAGGTATTCGCGGATATATGTAAATCTCTGAACTGCGATTTCGCAGTTCGTTTTGAGATGAATTCTTCAAATTCCTGCGTGATTAAAACGTGTGTGCTGTCATATTTGTTTAAACAAATAAATAAATGTTAAAATTCCAGCGGAGCGTGTTGATTGGATAGGTGTTTTATTTTTGCATCGTATCTAATATTAGTCATTCCAAGCCTTTTTTTTTTTTTTTTTCATTGTAAAGGTCTTATGGAAGGTAATTAGCGTATAGAAGATGGTTATGCTTATGGAAGAGCTAAGAAAGCTTATAGAAAATAGTTTGAGTCTGATAAGTCTGATTTCCATTTGGGATCTCATTGCAATTAAAAAGCTGTAGATTGTTTTTTTAAACTTTTTTTTTAATTAATATTTTGTTCTAACTATGAGACATGAGAGCATAATTCAATAAGGTGCTCAATTAAAAAAAAAAGCATAATTTGTGATTATACAAAATTTTCCTATTACAAAATATGAATGTGAATAAAAGTATCTTACAAGGATGTGTTAAAAGATTTCGCCCTTTTGTTTGCATAACCGTATTGCCATAAACTTCATGCTGTCGAATGATAGAACTATTGAAAATTATCGGAAATATATTTATCATAGTTTACTTTTAAATGTATTTATCATAGAATGCTAACTTTTTAAGGGCCGATCCAACTATTTTATGATTTGAGCGTATAGCAAAAGTATTACTTAAGTACATTTAACATAGATAAGAACTAAAGTTAGTCTACTAGTTTTATAATTTTTTAGTGATTTTATGAATTTTGGGCCAGATTATTGAAAACAGTTTTTGGATGTAAAGCTCGTACACCAGCGGAAGTTTGAGCCCTAGAAACGCACGTGAGCTTTAACTCGTCATTCTTGAAATTTGAACGATATCTTGCTTAGGCTTTTATTTTATAAAATGCATAGTTTCTCAGTTTTATCTCGAAAAGATGGAGTGCTTTAGCAATGAATTTCGCGCGTGTCTTAGGCTCAGTATTCTGCAAGAGCTACCGACTGGTAGTCAACAGTGCTTTTTTACACTGCGTAATATTTCGTGGCAGGTTATTATTTGCTAGAAATATTATCCCTTTTTTTGGTAATGGTAGAGAGATTTTTAATAGTTGTCGTTTTTAATTTCTTTAGAACTCAACATATGTATGGTACGTGATGATCAACATATGTTGATCAAAAATTAGAGGTCTCTTGTTTTTAAAACAAATTTCATGTATTTAACTTTTCCGATTGAAGTTAAAGAACTCCCAGCTGCGATTTATTTGGCTATTTGCCAACTAAAGTTTATTTTTGCTTTTCACCGGCATTGGCATAATGCCTATGGGTACGACCGACTAAACGGAGACGCCGGCGACAACTTAAAACGAATAGTTTTCTTTCTCTTAAAAGTTTTGGCATGGTAAATTAGTATTGTGACATTTCCGAGATGTGTATACAGACCTTTCCGATGTCGAATGATGCGGAGGCAGTGCCTGATTTACGCATAAGTCGCACAAGCTGTAGTTTAGGGCCCCCACTTTCTTGTGGCCACCTTAAAAAATTGCACTTTATCACGTATTAAGAAAAAAAAAAAAAAAAAAAAAAAAAAAAAAAAAGTCTAATATCCATCATAAAGGGCCCCATATCTCAAATAGCTTAGGATCGCGTCATATCTAAATACGGTCCTTGTATGGAGGGACGCTGAAACAAAACTGAGATCTCTTTTCATTAATTGGAAAGATTTAAATATTAGAACTGCACATTTTATATGAAGAGAAAATGTGGTAAATTGTTCTGTTTAAAATGTAACACAGACAGTTAATTAAAATCTACTTTACATTAATAACCTGAAAATATAAGTCATATTCAAAATTATGTTTTCAGAAAAAGAAAGTTCCTTAAGAAACTAACAGTGCATACAGTACGTACTCTTTAAGGGGATGTGGAATCTAGGAACTAAGAGTTAAATTAAAATTGATGTTTTATTTGTGGGGGGGGGAGTGTTAGAGGCCCAAGAATGCATTTTTATATCAAAGACAAGCACGTTACATCAGCAGCGTATGTTAATTGTTATTAATAAGTCTCAATAAAATCTTATTGATAAGATTTTCTAAATTCCTAATTATCCCGGCAAATTATTGAAGTAGAAATTTAAAATAATCAAAGTTATATTTACTTCAAAGTTTTTAATAAGTGTAATGATTATATAATGCCAAGACAGGGCAATAAAACTATTTGTTACTTTCTGATTATTTGCACCTCTACCAGAACGTTGTGAACTTTGATACTGATTTTGGAGAGCATTCCCCAACTTGTTGCTGACTAATTTTTCACCAAGCTAATGTTTGAAAAGCAACAAACAGCACATTTTCAAAATGTGCTCCGCTAAGAACTATACAGTAGCAATCAATGAAATTAAAAAAGCAAAAAAAAAAAAAAAAAAAAAACATTGTTATTGAAGCACTTAAAACCTTTTTCAAGAAGTCGTTAATTTTTTTCACTGTTGTTCTCTCCATGTATGCAGCAGTTTGTTTTTTCTTAAAAATCTTCAGAGAATTGCATAATTTTGGCATCTATATTAAGCATTGGGCATCAGCTGAAAAGACATACACTTAGATGCATACCTGATGTGTTGCCTCATAAACACTTTATGGCCACATGGTGTGTTGCCATATAACTGTTTTTTCAACATACTGCTTTGCCTCATGAATACATTTTGTGACTTTTTGGCAAGGGATAATTTGTGATTTGGATAATTAGTGAGTACCAAATATTTATATACCTTATGGAAAGTGCAGTTTTTCATATATACTATTCAACTACAAAATGTGTTAATTTTTATTATAATATACTCTGTGTTTCCATATGTCTGCTGTGGATAAAACATATTAAAGACCATTTATTTAACTCTATCAAAGAGGATATATATTTTATATGATGCACATGTAAATTCTTTGCATATATGCAGATGTTAATTTACTTTGTTAATATAAAATAGTTCTATAATTATCTAATATGTAACAGAATTGCTGAAGTAATGAGTCTTGTTTCATTGCAGAAGCAAGAACATGTTCAGACACAGAGTTTGTCTGCAATAGTGGTAAATGCATTCCAAGCCGGTGGCAGTGTGACAGAGAAAATGATTGCCTTGATAATTCTGATGAAGATCCTGAAGTGTGCAGTTAGTATTTTTTACAATTTATGTAAATTTGATTTATTTTATAATAATTATCTGCATATTTTAAGACTTGATGCGTTTTTCCCAGAAACATTAATGAAAAGAGAATTATATAGTAAAAATCCCTTATATCTGTATTAAATTATTCTGGATTACATTTAATTTTTAGACAAAAGAAACATCATGTATCTTTTCAAATGAACTTTTATTTTTCTATCTAGAAAATAAAACTTGTCAGACAGGCCAGTTTGCTTGCATTTCACCTGCTGGTGTGTGTATCCCAATTTCATGGCACTGTGATGGACAGGATGATTGCACTGACGGATCTGATGAAAAAGGAGATTGCCGTAAGTATGAAATTATGCATATTGAAATAAATACTAGTGTATTATAAGACATAGTTGATTTTTATGAGTGTGTTATTGATTGGAATAAAATGTCTTTTCTTCTTGTCTCTATGTCGGAAAGTTTCTGGTCTTATAAATGTATTGATACTAGTCTGTATTATTAACTAATGAAGAATCTGTTGTGTATGTGTCTACCTTCCTCACACCGCAGAAAAATGACAGCACCTAGAGTCACTAAATTTTGAACATACAATCTTCCATGTGAACCTTGAAGCAGGAATTAAATTTTTTATTTATTCCATGTTTTGTGTAAATTTAATGAATTCTTGATTAAGCTGTTCATGACCAGCGTCCCATATACGCGATGCAACGATTCCACTCCTACCAACCCAGTGTCCCGTATACACGAAGCAATGATTCTACTCCTACCAGCCCAGCGCCGCGTATATGTAACTTTAAAACAGAATGATTGATTTAAAATTTTAAAAGCCAGTAGGATGGAGCTAAATGGTAACTGTTTTCGCATGTGTTTATTCATATGGCATTTGACCTTCATATACTGGCACTAGTTTCTCTTTTGTGCTTCTAGTTTTGATAGATTTATTGGTATAAACAAACTGGGAATCAGGGCTGTTTATAAGTGCGCCTGTGAATTAAAGGGGCATAGGCATTTTTGTTTATTTTGTTAGGACTCCCACCCCCTTTTTTTTTTTTTTTTTTTTGTTCTGTTTTCACTTTGTTTTTTGCTTTTTTTATTATTAGAATGTGGGTAAATGCATCCACCTCCTTGTTTCCGTTTATGTTATTTACTTTTTTTGTTAGGAAAGTGCATTCAGCTGACTATAGCAAGTGTGTAACGTCCCCGAGCATCTGTGATGGAAAAACTCAAGACTAGTTGCCCTTTTTTCCATTTATTTTGAAATTTAACACAAGCTTTCTTCTTACTCGTTCACATTTATTAGAAAAGAGCCAGTGTTTTTGCTTCTCTAACTCAATTTAATAAGTCATTATATATAATGCCTTGAATGATCATTATATATAATGACCCAGGCATTATATATTTACTTTACGTATATATTGACGTGATCAGTAACAGATATCCTGCCAATGATTATATGTCTTTCCTGGACAATGTCTTTCCTTGATCAGTTTCCAGTCACCGTGGCGGATGCTGGTTTTCGATTTAGAAAAACAGGAAGTTTTCTAATATAAACAAGATGTTACACTGGGTTTGAGGATGAAGTATTTCTGGGTGTCTTTTGAAGAAGTTTTGGGACATGTGTTGGGGTTATATTCAGTTTCCTTCCGTTAGCCAAGTCTAAAAGACCCTATTTAAAAACTTTAAAATTTTTTCCAAAATCACCAGGCACTCCACCTTTCCATCGAACTGGAAGACATTTTCCGAAAATTTGCGTTAACAAAAAAGGTGATAAAGGTAGGAGAAGATGCGTTGTGTGCATTAAAACCAAGGAAAAACGAAAGCAAACAATGTATTTTAAGTGCAAAATTATACAATGTGGGACAGTGTGTCGGTCCTTGTTTTGAATTATTTCACACACAGCAGAATTTTTAAATTAGAATTTAATTACCCACAGGTAATTCTTGTTTAGTTTTTTTTTTTTTTTTTTTTTTTTTTTTTAAATTTCGTATTTGTGATTTTTTTCCCATGTTTATAGTATTTATTTCTGTGTGTATAGTTATGATTTTAGTATTTTGATGTTTAATTTATTTCTATTAATGTGATATTCTTTATATTAATACACATTAAAAACAAGTACATTATATACGCAGCTTCAAAAATTGAAGTCATAATATCACAAAATGCTGATTTTATGTTTTTTTTTTTTTTTTTTTTTTTTTTGTAAAATTAGGCTTAACTGCTGAAAATGTGTGGGCCTGCGACAGCAATTCATTTCAGCGGGTCCGGTCCTGTGATTGCGCTTCGTTCTCCATGCGCTGGTCCTTAAGGAATTAATAAAGTTGGCAGTTTCAAATTTAATAAAAGAACAGTGATTTTAAAAAAAAATGTTTTGTTCTGCCCATTATAAAATATTTTTAATTTTTATGTTCATGTAAGGTTGTTACTATTTGGCAAAGCTTTAAGATACTTAATTTTTCTTTGAAATTTAATACTGTAATTGATTAAAAGAACTGTCTGGACTTATTTATATATATATATATAATTTCTTTTTTGTAAGAACTATAGGTGGCTGGGCATGCAAATGAACTAGTTAGTTACATAAATAGCTGAATGGTATCAAAAGTGATATCAGTTAAATTCATTTCACATCCTGAGAAATAACAAATACTTAAATTCACAAAACAAAACATCCTGTCATAGTACAATTTAGGGATTGAAAATGATAAAATTAATATAGTAAAAAATCACTTAAGCAATCAACTGTGTGAAAAGATTGTGTCGATCACTTAAGGAGTCATCAGTGTGGAAAGATTATTTAGATGTGCTGTTGTATGCAGCAGTCTTTGTGTTTCATGATGTAAATTGTATTTATAAAATATTTTATACTTCCAGATCAGATAACATGTTCAGATGAAGAGTTCACCTGTAACAATAACAAGTGCATCACCAAAGCGTTGGCTTTGTGATCAGGACAATGACTGTGGAGATAACAGTGATGAACTGAACTGTGGTATGTATGTACTTTTGTATATGTAATATTGTATGAGTGTCATAGTAAAATTCTGTGAACTAAGAGTAACTTAAAATTAGGATATAAGGAAATTTTCTAGCTTGTTTCTTCAATAAATTATCATAAAAGATACCAAATGTTTGATAAATGGAAGCAAGGATTTTGTGTTAAATGACATTGCAGTAAATATGAGAAAAATTCGGCTACAAGCATAGGTGACATAGGCAGCTGCCTCTAGGATGTGGATTTTTGGATGACACCAGCTACATTGTTCTCGCAAGCAACAAAATATATTTAGCTTTCAGTTATTTGTACTTGGTTGTTTTTCTAGTGACTATTTTGGCAAACAAAAGCTGTCACGAATAACAGATAAACATTATGTCACAACACAAGCATAAGTTTTGGTTTTATATAATCTTGAGGAGTTCTTGGTAAGCCAGTTTTGTTTTTGTGAAGAAGAGTATAAATTAACTGTGTTTTTCTTGTGCATTTTGAGAACATGGTTAAGATTTAGGACCTGCTTTCTACAGAATGGCAAACATTAGACTCTTTTTGAATTTAAGGGATCATGCCATTATATTCAAGACATCAAAATGCACATGTTCAAAACATCAAAAGACTCTGCATTCGGCAAAATTGTACGTTAAAGAACAGAGTGCGCAGATTCATATTTAAGTGAATTTATGAGGTATGTGATGCTGAGCTTATAAATAAGGGGGACTACTTGATAACTATTTTAGATACATTAAGATTTTTAAACATTAGAGATTTTTTAACTAAGCTGTTATTTATTTATGTTCTTTTTTAAGCTGTATTAGTAATTTGTATATGTGATTCGTATAACTAAGCAGTTATCTGTGCATTCAAAATACTGCCAGAACAATTGGTGTATATTAGGTGGGTGTCAAATTTCATAGTTGTTAAGAAAATGTGTTAGTATGAAATTATTACTATAGTTCATTTAAGGGTGCCAACTATACTGAGTACCTAGGGTACTGAAAATGTTAGAGCTGGACCTGGACAAGAATACTCTGTAACTAAAATAAAACTTCTGGATTCTTCTGTTATTACATCTGGCTGGTACTTGATTATCTCTGAAGATGGAGAGTTCTGAATTAAAATAAGGAAATTTCATCATAAATGCATGCTTTTTTTACTAGAATAGTAATTATTTGCCATTCAAAATTGATGCATTTTAAATATTGTATTACAAACTGCTCAAACTACTTTTTTATATTTTATTACTGCGTAAATTGAACCAGAAGAAAATTTTGCAATCATATCAAAAATTATTGATCTATTGAAAGATGTGTTAGCTTATATATTTAATGTTTGTTTTAAATTTAACCAAATGAAATAAAAATTATTGTTTAAATTCATATTGTGTCAAAATAAAATAAATGTAGATATGATTGATATTTTTTGAATTTTCTAGCAAATGTCACTTGTTCGTCTTCTGAATTTGTCTGCGCAAATGGAAAATGCATTCCAGAAAAATGGCGATGTGATGGTGCTGTTGATTGCTCTGATGAATCAGATGAGAAAAACTGTCCAACACCTATGGCACCTGTATGCAACAATAGAGAGTTCATGTGTGCAAATAAAAAAGATTGCATTCATGTCACTTGGCAGTGTGATGGAGATCCTGACTGCCCTGATGGTTCTGATGAGCAGAACTGTAAGTTTGAATGTATATTAATCGTACTGTTTATTGACTCTCAGTTTGGAAACTTAAAATACACTGACTACCAATAAGTATTTGGGCACCTATGCAAATGACGATATCTGCGGTCCTAAGGTACGTCACGGACTCCACCGGAATATATCGTGTAGGAAACAGCATCGGCTTTAGTCGCATGCAAGATGCCTCGCAGTTCGGAGCTCTCTGATTTCAAGAAAGGTATAATTATCGGGTATCGCAAATGTGGCCGATCCTTAAGGGACATATCTAGCGTTCTGAAGTACTCAAAATCGACAATGGCCAATGTGATTAAGAAGTGGAAGGTGAGCGGTGATTGTCGGAATGTGCCCCGAGTCGGCAGACCAACGAAACTGGGAGATAGAGACCAACGAGTGCTGTCCAGAGAAATTCGGAAGTTGTGGCAGTTTTATGGGTTGCACCCCTGTTACTTTCAGGACGACAATGCCAGTTGTCATGTTTCGACGTTAACCAAGGCTTGGTATGGTGCCAATGGAGTTCATCGAATGGACTGGCCTGCCCAGAGTCCAGACCTGAAACCTATCGAGAACCTCTGGGACGAGTTGCATCACCGAATTCAGGGGTGCACTACCCGTGCAAAATCGGTGAAGGAATTTCTATGTCTTCTCCAAGCCGAGTGGAAGAATACCACTAGCTGTCATACAAAGACTTGTCGAAAGTATGTCCCGGAGGGTCCACGCTGTGATTACCTCTCTCAGAGGCTCTACCAACTATTGATTTTGAATAAAGTTAGTTTTTCTTTTTCTAACACAGGTGTCCAAATACTTATTGGTAGTCAGTGTATAAGTAATTTAAATAGATGCATGATGAAAATCATGAAGGTATAGCTGCCTACTCTCATGGTATATCACCGAGATTCTACTCTTTTTTTTTTTTTTTTTTTTTTTAAATAGTCTTTACTGAAGGAAATGTTTCCTAGAAATAGTGAAATTTTTTTAATTAATGAAACTTAAATTAGGCAAATTTCATTCCCCTCTTGTAATTTTCAGCATAATTTTTCTGATGAAATTTTCATTTGTCATAATCTACTGTAGATATCTGTAAAACTGTTTAAGATTCCATCCTTCTGTTTAATTAGTTAATAAATGTATTTAATTTTGTCTTTCGTCTATAATAATACATTACTAATAGTTTAAAAAGCTTTCCATAATTACTCAGGATTTTTTCATTATAAACGGGAGTATTACATAATAAAATTATCCAAAAAATGAAATTTAGAATATCTTATTAAATATTAATGTATTAAGAATATTTTGTTAAATATTATATATAATTATATAATAAGAAGATATAATTAATATAATAAGTTTGGGATTCTTTTGAAACAATATCCCTGTGCAATTCAGAATCCTCTGAGAAACTCCTGAATTTTGCATGAGAACACTCCTTATCAAGAGACCCAAATACATTTTTTCTTGATGTAAAGAATGATATCATGTAAGCAATAATATTCCAATAAATCTTCTCATATAGGCTTCAGATGCAATAAATTCTGGGCCCTTTTTTGTTTTTTTGCTGAGCGTATATATTTGTCTGTTCAACGAGAAGAGAGTAAATGTCTAAACCAAAAAGAACGTCTTAAAGACGGCGATTCTTTGGTTAAATATTTTCAGCAAAAATACCCGGTCGAAAGTTTTGCTTAAAGTATGAGATTAATTATTATAAACAAAATTATTGTTGAAGGCAAATTTTTTTTACAGAAATAATCTTCATAATATTCCCTACACAAAATCATCTGCTTCGTATAAAATATTTTAGGTAGTTATATTTATATACGCATTTATTTTGACCATTGCGTGCCTCAATGCAATACCAGCGGCTGATGGGTTAATGGAAAGAGAGCTAGAAGCAAAAGTTTGGTGTTATCTAATATAGAACCTGTTAAGAGCATTTCTCGAAATTTTGAGTTCAAGTTCCGATTTAGTTATGTCAGAGTTTCAGTTTATGTTCGCCATTAGTTACATCATCAGCGTTATTAAATCATAATCTATGGATTGATCTAGAAATGACACTATTGAGAGAAATTTTGGATTCATTGCAGATGCTAGGATGGGGCATATAAAAATCTAAAGAGATCTAAAGAGCTATTGCTAATTAAATTATTAGTTTATTAGAGATTTATTTTCTTGTTTTAAATTTAATATATTAGATTTATTAATAATATATATATATATTGTTAAATTACAGGTACAAATACTTGCAGGCCTGATCAATTTCAGTGTAAAAACTTACAGTGCATTCCTGGACAACTGCAATGCAATGGTATGAATGAATGCCCTGATGGTTCTGATGAGGAGGACTGTAAATGTAAGTTCTTAGTGCCCATAGATCTCTACAAAAAGCCTAATATATGGATTTACTGAACAAATTACAAAACCATTAAAGCTTAGGATTGTACATGAGAAAATTTGAAAACCACCTTATGTGGATCTACTTGCCACATATGACATATACTTTTAAATCTCTTGTTTTATTCGTTTTCTGGCAATATTAATATCAATGATTCATTTATATTACTACATCAGGTATATTATATTCTATTAAGATAAGGTCGTTAAAATTTACTGATTTTTATGCATGCTAAAATATTTAAAATATGTTGCATGAAGTGCAAAGCATATAGAGAGATATGAAGGAGAAAGGGTCTAAATCAGGGGCGAGCAACCTTTTTAATCAATGGGCCAATTTAAATTTTAGAATTTCTTAGCGGGCCATGCATAAAGTAACACTTATTATTAATAATAAACAATATGAAATATTTTTAAAAAGTAAAGATTTCATATATAAATTTTAATGCAAAATAAAAACAAACAAGAAAAGTACAGAAAAACGAATTTACTTGAAATTTTTAATGAGAAATTTGGCAGTTTTTTTTATATAAGCTGATCAATATCAGCCGAAATTGATGAGGTAGCTACATATACGCAGTTTTCTAATCGTGCATCACTCAGTCTTGATCGGTGGTCATTTTTGATTAATTTCATGGTTGGAAAAATTGTTCACAAACATACATATTTTCGAACAGAGACATCATTTGCTTTGCATTTTTCATCAAAAGTGGAAATTTCTGGGCCTCGCATAAGATTTATAAAAATTTTCGACGTTTACCAAGCAAAATACATTGTTTAAATTGGTGTTATTCTGCATGTTAATCACTTCCATTTGAAAGTCTTCGGGAACTGTATCCACATTGATATTAAATGGCGAAGAAACCATTTTCATGGAAACTGCTGTCTTCTCAGCTTTGAACATTTGGAATCGTAATTGAAATTCGTTGATTAAAGTGTTTATATATTGTGCATATTTTGAGAAGTAGTAACATTTTCTTTTTCTAAATGTGGAAAGTGAACACATTATTCTGCAAAAGATGCTGTTTCCACAATTTTAATTTGCGCTGAAAGCCCTGAATTTTATCACACAAATTGTGAATAAACTGCCCTTTGCCTTGAAGTTCCACATTAAGATTATTGAGATGCTGAGTCATGTCACTACCTGAAAATGGCTTGGCAGCACGAGTGCGGCTATGTAGCCGACATCTTTTTGACAATGATATTGTACTCATGCCTTTCAAGAAACACAAGAATTGCTAAAATTGCTAGTTAACAGCTTACCAGTCTAACTGATTATGTGACAGAAGCAAACATAAAAAAGCATAGACGCAGCACGTTTGTATTGCATGTTTGAACAAGTTGCCGACAAGTGAGTAACTCGTCAAAAAATTGTTTCGGTTTCGTATGTACTACCATTTTATCATAATTATTTTTATAACATATATTGATGGGAGAAAGTCGCTAAAATAAATTCATTTTTAGAAATGCTTGGCAGGCTGCATAAAAATGTTAAACGGGCCACGTGTTGCTCACCCCTGATCTAAATGATATATATACTCACTTCTGAAAGTTAAGCACAAAGATGTAAAATTCAAAAAAATCAACAAATACTGATTTGATTGACACAAAATTCGGCAGGAAAGTAGCATATATATTTATGCATAAAACAAAATCAGTAATTACACACAGAAATGAAAACAATATTAAATTTTTGTAAGTTATCAGATAATGACATACTGGAGACTTAAACAGAATTATGTATAAAGTGAAAATAAACAGCATAAAATGAAAAAAGAATATTAATAGGATATGTGATCCCCCCTCTTCTGTATACAAAGTTTACATCTTGTGACCATGCTTTCGATTAGGTAGTCAACCACCGCAGAATTAAGCAATCGCCATTCTTCTTGTAGAGTAGTTTCCAGCTCAATAAGAGTGGCTGGAGGTGGGAAACATGAAGATACAGCACGGCCAAGAGCATCCCAAAGATTTTCAATGGGATTAAGGTCGGGCGGATATGCTGGCCACGCCATACGTGCAATCCCTTCACTCTCTAGGTAGTCATCGACGACGTCAGCACTATGGAGACATGCATTATCGTCCATTAAAACAAAAGTAGGGCCAACTGCTGCAGTATACAATCTCACAATGGGTTCTAGGACTTCATCTCGATACCGAACAGCCGTCAAAGAACCCCGTTTGAAGATGTGCAGGTTGGTGTGATATCTTAATGAAATCCCTGCCCACACCATAATGCTTCTGCCTCGGAATGCGTGATGTTCGGTGATGTTTTGGGACAGATTGCGTGTTCGTTGTAATCCGGCACCGCTGTAATCATGCCCCTCTTGATTGGACGAATAGAGGATCACAAACTTGAGGTACCAGGGCGTACAGTTCACTCATATGTAATCTTCGGCGTACAATAGCTGCAGATATCACCTTACCAATGGACACTGTAACCATAGATGTTACATGTGTGAGGGTCGCTCTGCGATTCCGCTAGGCTACAACAGCAATATATCGATCTTCCACGGGGGTTGTAACCTATGTGCGTCCGGCTATGGGCCTTTGGACAACTGTCTGTGGGGTTTGAAATTATTTCCATAAATGTGAAATTACAGAATGATGAATGCCGAAGAAAAGAGCCATCTGTGATTGACTGTCCTGCTTCAATGCACCCCATAGCACACCAGCGCTCGGAATCTTCCGTTCATCTTCTGGAAGTCATATAAACACGTATGTCTTGAAAACAAGTTGAACGAAAGTTTTAAACACCTTCTATCAACACTTACAATCAACTTCTGTAACCCTTCATAAAGCTGGCTTCTTATAAGACTGCCTTTTTTTTTTTGCATATTTCTTGACATGAAAGTGCGATTGTCTATTACCTAACATACACTGGTGTGCAAAAATTAAGGACAAAGTCGAAAAATTAGCATATCAGCTGAGCGAAGAGGCAGAGCGGACAGAAAGACCAATCAGGAGATTAAGTAAGGTGATGTACGGTAGCACATGCGCAGATATGCAGGTAGACCTAATGGGGGAGTGTCTGAGTAGTGTAAAGCATGTTGTCGGTGTAAGATCAGTATTTCTGGCAAAGAGATTGCACGCCGTATAGCAGTTAAAATCACACCGAGTTGCTGCCTCAGCGAGAAATGGCGAATAATCAATCTGTTAGATGACATCTGGATGCTTTTACCCGAGGTCGAATCATTGGGAAGTTGGAGAAAGGCCGCAGTGTGACAAGTGTGGCTGCAGAGTTCGGAATTGCTCACAGCATCGTTTCACGACTTTGGAGACAATTTCAAACTACAGGAAGTGGCCGTCCATGAGGAACCACACCCGCAGATGACCGGTATATTGCCTTACAGGCCAGAAGAAACAGGCGGAAGACAGTGGGAGAAATTGCTAGACGCACGACACAAGTGACTGGACGACCGATATCGCGTTTTACCGTGGCCAGAAGACTGTACGGTGGTGGTCTGTTTGCACGACGCCCTGTACGGTGTGTACCTCTAACGCCTGCTCATCGGAGAAGGCGTTCTCTGTGGTGCCGGGAACACCGGAATTGGAGAGACAATGAATGGGGACGAGTACTCTTTACAGATGAGAGCAAATTCAGTCTGACTAGCGATTCTCATCACATATTCATCTGGAGAGAGCGGGGAAGTTGCAATCATCCCTCGAACATCATTGAAAGGGACAGGTATGGAGGTGGCGGTGTTCTCGGTTGGGGAGGCATCATGCTTGGTAGTCGTACAGACCTTCACATCAGGTTCAGTCAATGGGACCCGTTATTGTAACGAGATTCTTCTTCCATATGTGTGTCTTTTTAGAGGCGCTATGGGTCCGCAGTTCCTTTTCATGGACGAGAATGCACCATGTCATCGCACAGTAGCTGCCGAACAGCTCTTAGAGAGTGAGGATATTGAACGTATGGATTGGCCGGCATGATCTCCAGATCTCAATCCCATCGAGCATGTATGGGATTTTCTAGGCAGACGCTTGGCAGCTCGTACCTTACCACCAGTAACGATTCCGGAGCTCCGATCGAGATTGGCGCTGCAAGATGAATGGGCAGCAATGCCTCAACAACTCATTGACACCCTCATTCTCAGCATGGGCAGACGCTGTGAAACCTGCCCTAGCTAGTCAGGGGAGATCATATCCCCTATTAAAGACCGGGTGTTTCTCGCTGGACACCCACCACAGGGATGTTTCGACCTTCAGTCGCATTGCGCTCCATGCTACGTTTTCAATAAAGCTTCTTTTTATCCCTCTGATTTCTCTTTTAGTGAGTGTTGCTGACATTACTCGTCCTTACGTATTGGGGATCTTACGGTATTAAATGTGTTGATTTGGAAAGCTTTTGTACAAAGTTATATTGAAAAAACCGCCTCGTCCTTAATTTTTGCACACCAGTGTATTTGCATACTTCCATCTACCTCTGCAGGGAATTGCATCCTATTCAATTCTGATTGGCTTCCAGAAATTAGCATTTACTCTCCGTGCTTAACTTTTGGAAGTGAGTGTACTTACAGCAATAGTAAAAAGGCTTACTGTATTTTTTATAAGGAACATTAATAAATCTTTGACATTATTATTAAAAACTTGTGTATGCCAGCATTACACATATTCAAAGATAACAAGAACATATTTAGTCATGCACTAATTGAATTATAAAAAAAGTGCCCCCCCCCAAAAAAAATCAGATTCATATTATAGGGCATATGCAAAAGAAAATTAGATTGAAGTTTATGCAGCTTAAAACCATTATAAAATAAAACTAATTACTCAGTAATGAATTTTAAATTTTGCAGAATCCTCATTTTTATTGTCTAAGGCAAATAGCTCCTCAATTACATCCTCACTTTTATTGTTGAGAAGCTGCCCATCATATGGGTCCCATTCTGTACCTAGCATGTCATTTTCCACTTTGTCATTTGTGTCTCATAATAATTCGTCCTCAGTGCCATCCATAGCATTAGATATCTCACACCTTTTGAAAAACCTGATCACTGTTTGTTTTAACTTTTCCCCATAATTTGGTCACGAAATCGCACATAACATCAAGTGATGCAGCACGCATAGCTCTGCCTTTCTTATATGCCTTTTCACCATGCATTATCGAGTTATTGCATTGTTCATAATGTGATCTTTGATTTATTCAGAGAGAGGTCTAAAGGTTGTAGCATTGAAGTTAAACCTCCATGTATTACAGCAATCTTAGTATTGTTCCATGCTAAGCAATTTTTAATAGTCTCAGTTATGTAACTGCAAAACATATCCCATACCAATAAACTGTGTTGATTTCGGGGAGTACCTGGTCCCCTCTGCCACACATTTTCCATCCACAATTTTACATCTTTCTTATTCATCCCCCTTTTCATGAAATTGTATGAAAATGCCTGGGAGGAATTTTAGTAGTTTGAAAATAACTATGGGTTTAAATTTTGTTCCATCTGTCATGCATGTTAATACTACTGTAAAACCTGGTCTTTTCGTGGCCTGTATTTATTTTTGATCGTGACCTGAGTTGAAAACATTTTTAGGGCTGTTGTTTCCATAATTCTGTTGTTTATCAAGTCAAAGTTCATCAGTTGTTATTAGCTAATGTAAAGTTGTATTTTGCATCATACTAGTTGTGACTTTATGGTTAAGATCTTGTGGTAATATCTGCACAATTTTTGTTTTCTGTCATATTACCAGACTTTTTCCGTTCATGTAACGATTGCACCAACCTGCTGTTGCTCTAAATTCTTTGCCTTGTTCTGGATTGGCCTGAGTCCACTTCAAATGCATAGGCCCTAATCATAATTTCTTATAACAACTCTGTTTGTTCGATTCTTTAGTCTATTTTATGACTTTTAACAACTTCTTTTCATAAGTTCTAGGATTAGACCACAGTTTACAAATTTTGATCTTGCAGTGCAAATTGTTTAATCACATGACACAACCTACAATGAAACTTGTTAGAAGTACATGAGAGTTTGTGATTTGGTACATGCTTGTGTAGGCAGAGCTGCCAGATGCAAGAGGGTTCATAGTGGTCCTTACAAGTGCTTATAAGTCCTTATATTTGAAAATAAATTGTAAAAGCCCTTGTAGGTGCTTACTTTTTCTCTAAAGCACTTATTTTTTTGCTTTTGGGGCTTTTTTTTTTTTTTTTTTTTTAACAAACGCACATTTTTTCTCTGTACCAAAGCCGAAATTAAATAAACAACTTTTCTTCCTTGTATTGAACATCAGATGGTGAATCATACTCCCAGGAATAGCTTTTTACTCCTTTCTCTGCATTAACATAACCTTTGGTGTGTGCGAGTACAGACAGGTGCACGTCATTCTATCGGTCGAAGAATTGAAAAAGTGGTAGAAAATTCCAGTACATTCTGTATTCTTTTGCTCCCACCCTATATTACACTCGTTTGAATTTCTATCAGGATTTTAATAATTTACATTCTCGTTCCGCGGGGTCAGTTCATAATCGCGTTTATTATGATCGGTATGCTTATATTATGAGCATATGTATGAATATTTATAATAATATATTTACAGTAACTGTGGAAGTGTAGATAAACTTTAAAAATGGGTAAGTGTGGTTTAACACAGATTAGTTTTCTAAGGAATAATATTTGGAATGGCATAAATAAAGTAATCAAATAGTCAAAATAATTTTTTTTTTTTTCCCCCAATGCATTATACAGTACGGAAGTTGGGGGTTCTTCCCTTTCTCCCCCTTCTCAAAATCTTGAATATTGAAACTGTTACAGTTCGCAGCAAAGCAAGCAACGGACTTTTTGGGGAGGGGTCACTTTCCAAACTGGACTGAATAAGACTAAAAGTTCTGCGTTCTACCAACCTAAGCAAAGAATGATTCTATTCCGGAAATTTAACGCAGTCTGTTCAAAATTAGAATAAAAAAACAGCCCAGATTGGTAAATCTCTTTATTAATCAATATGAGTATGGGAGGGATATTGTGCAGAGCGCTATGTGTCCTGCTCAATGACAAATATGCCACATGGGCGCATGACGGTGAAAACTGGACGAAGCAAAGGAATGTTTTCCTTTATTTAGTTATTGATTCTCCGAATACCGGCAGCTGTTGATTCCGATTGTTGTAATATCACATGTGGAAGAATTAAGGTGCACATATTGCGCAATAACATTTGCAATATTTCGCAGAGATAAGAGTTTTACTGTGCTTACTAAGCAGATTATTTTTTAGTTCCATTGGGATATTTTGATATGATGTGCATATCTAAATGTCAAAAGCATCATTTAGCTGAAAAATCTGAAGAACGGCTGCAATCTATCCCCTTCCTCTTTTACCAGTTACGCTCGACTATGCGGAATTTTCAGATATTCGGCAATTTCCGAGTATGCCAGTTAGTTAAGCTTTTACTGTTAAATTATGACTGCATGAAGCAATTTCCTATCTTCTGATTTTAGAAAAGTTCCCTTTTTTACTTATTTTTACTTAAATTGCTTGTAATATCTGTTAAGGAAAAACAGTTATACAGTGAAAATTTAGAAAATGTTCAGAATTTTGATTTAAGTTAAATTATTTAAATATTAATACGAGTGGAAATGTAAATTGTATTTATTTTTAGGTGCCAACGGAATATAATAAATATGGCTTATTATTATTTATTTTCCTACTTCGAACTGAAATTTCATCATTAAATTTTGTAATATAATTTAGTTCTGTATAGTTTTTCCTTCTTTCGTTGTAAACGAGTTCTGTAAATTGAACTGTTATTGAAAATTTTAAAAAAGAATGTAATTGTTTTCCATGTTTGAGTAATGCTCATTCTCTCTTAATAAATACTGAATTTCTCGTATTTTAAATTACAATTCTGATTTTTCTTTTAAGGTTATGCAGTTGTGTATAATGTAATTAGACAGGTGCTTATTTTTTTTTCCTTAAAAATGTGCTTGAAAAGTGCTTATAGGTGCTTATTTTTTTGACTAAAATATGGCTATGAACTCTGTGCAAGAAAATAAACTTGTTAGAGGTATATGCGAGTTTGTGGTTCAGCATGTCCTTGTGTATGCTGTGTTGCCAGACACAAGAAAATTGATCCATATGATGATTGCTGATTTAAACTAAATTCATAGGCCATTGAAAGTTTTGGGATCATGTTATAGAAGAGATATATGCTAAAACTATAAAACTTTGACAAAAATTTATACCTAATCATATTACGGAAATAAACAGTAACTATTTTTATGCAGTTACTCACCAGCCAATTTGTAGATGCATTCCTGGTAAATGTTGCAAAACATGTTTGTTATCCAATTAAAATTTAGAAAGTAGCCAAAATTTTATATTTCATGTGTGATAATTTTTATTCCTAATAGAAATATTTTATTTTTGATCATTTTAGTGCGTTATAACTTTTCAAATATATTAAAATCAAATATTTTTATATATTCATGTTTTAATCATTTATGTTTTTAGCTTTACATCCTGCCAAATGTGATCTTAAGAAACAGTTTGATTGTGGAAATAATCATTGCATTCCATTGTCATTGGTTTGTGATGGTCATAATGATTGCGGTGACTATGAGGATGAGCCACAGCATTTATGCTGTAAGTAACTTGTAAAATATATTAGTATTTAGAGTAAAAATCTTATCTGTAAAATATTTTAAAACGTTTAGAACCCACCAATGTTAAACAGTATATCGCTGAAAACAGATAGTCCAACCTGTATTCATATTCTGGCAGACATGCTAATTTAAGTAACCCAGTTCTCCAGAAATTTAGTAGTAAACTCTTAACCCTTTTGAGACAGCATACCTTTGTTTAAGACGTTCCATCAGGACAGGTGGAAGTTGAAAGGAATCGTTCCACAGGACGGGGGTTGCATAACTTTTAGGGAAAAAAATGACCCCCCCCCAAAAAAAAATTAAGTCCTGGTGTTATAATTTTTGGTATTAATTTAGATTATTACTTAAGCTGCCATATGTTAAAATCATCATTTCATAATCTTTTTCCTTTACATGAAAATATGTAAAAAATCGCTTTGAGAAATAATTTTCAGAAGCCCTATTCAAATTATTCTGAAGTTTTAATTCACAAAATATATTAATAAACTTTAATAAAAAATACAAGACAGGGTTGCCACGCTACTTGGAAAACCGGAAAAAGTCAGGGAATTCGGAAATTGACCAAAAAATTCAGGGAAAAGTCAGGGAATTTCATACAACGATCCCACCAAAAGAGGCGAGTTTTGTGCCGAATTCGGAAGAGATCATTTTTTTGGCGAATTGTGTATCACGTGAGTGTCATTCGGGCAGCTGGCATAGAGCCGATTTTCGCAGCTCCAATTTGATTGTCTTTTAGAAAGGCAAATCAAGTTTCCCGCAACTTTTGGTTTCCAGTAACCTCGAGAATCGCATGTGCAGTGCATGAACAAAAGAAAGTACCTGTTCTCGTATAAAACAAAATGGGTTTAATCCTAGTATACGGTACCATGAAGGTCAGAATAAAAAAATATGTATTGTAAAGAAAGAAAACCTCTCTGCAACAGACGTGGTTCCGTTCCATCATAGAGGGAAACAGCTGTGCGTGCGCGATATATATGTCGCCAAAGCTGGAAACCGGTGTCGAAGTTCGAAGGTCACGTTATCAAGAGTTCATTAAATGAATATCGTTTAAAATTTCTTTAAACTCTAATCTAAAGGAAAAGAAAATATCTTTTGGCGCAAGTAAATTAATTCCTGGATTAGTTATTTTGGGGGGGGGTAACTATGAAAATCCGTTTTTAAAATTATTGCGAAAAATCCAAGAAAAAACATTCTTTGATAAAACGTTTCTTCTTGGATTTTTCGCAATAATTTAAAAATGAATTTTCGTAGTTTTCTTTTTTTGTCAAAGAACGTTTCTCTTAACACGTGTTTCTCAATTTCCTGTACACTCGATGAGATGAGAGAGAAATTCTGGCCGCAAGGTTCCGTCGCCAAATCCCTTGGCAAATTTTCCCTCCGCTTTCTAGCCGTGTAATAGCATTTACGTGTATGGAACCTTTTCTTCTTTACATAGACGTTCTTTGGTTAGAATAATCTCCATGTATGGTACAGCGGGATTTGGCGACATGATGATGAGCAGTAAACGAGTCATTTTGTTCTTGGCGACAATTTTCAAAATTGTGCGAAGGCCGTATCGTATACTAGGATTTTACCGCAAAATCTTTTTTTTTCTTTCTTTTCTTTTCTTTTTAATGAATACCTTGTCATTTTGCAGTAAAATAAAAAAATAGCAATCAGTCATCTAGGCTAACCATGTAATATAACTATATTCGCTAAAATATTGTTGATTATTCTAATTCAATTTTAAAGCAATTATCTTTATTTTTATGTTATTCTTATCATTTAATGTTGCTTCTTCCCTCTAAATTTATTTACATATTTGGAAGTAAATAATATTTCCAAATTTCAAGAAATTTTCTCTGGCATAATCCTGAAATTAATTCTAGCAGTATGATGACATCACGAAATTTAATGCACATATTTTTTCCTTATGTATGCTGCGAAATAAATATAAAATACCTCAATTTAGTAAAAAAATATCATTAAATAAGATTTCTTTTTTTCGTTTTAGCTGCAGAATGTCTGCAAAAAAAGCCTTATTTTATTCCAGATTGGGAAGATTCTAATCTCAATCTTCAGTGGAGAAAACAACTCCTATTATAATTATATTTGTGTTTTCAAGTGTTAAGGTGCTTTTTAAGAAGACATCTCACACAAATTAAATTTACCTAAAATCTAACCTAACTTTTAGCATTGCGTTGTGATTTATAAGAACCGGATTAGCCTCATGTTGGACTGGTGATGATCATGAGTAATAATTAAATAAAACGTACAATTGTTATCCAATGTATATATCTTAAATTTTATTAAGTTTCTTAAATGGAAAAGTAAACAAAATTATCAAACAAAGTGTACCAAGAATAATTAAGAATAAATGTCCTCTGAGATTTATTGAATAATTAAGTGAATTTGCTACACAGTACAAGTAATACCATAATTAATTTACCTCTTAGCACAGCCAACGTACATTACGCGGATAGACTGGAATTTTCTCGAAACATACCTGGAAAACCTGGAAAAGTCGGGGAATTTCATTATCCTGTTTGAGTGGCAACCCTGACAAGAAAGACTGTGTACAACAAGAAGTAGCAAAATCTTTCATGGGAAGTAGAAGGCAAATACTCGGTGAGCTCAGTCTAATATAAATGTCCATCTGAGCATCGCTCTTTAGAAAATGAATCATCGCTCTCATCCATGTCACTTTGGCTCATGTACATGCAAGTATATCCTTCGTCTGATAAGTAACACTTGTTGCCCGTAATGAACTGATGTCGAGGTTTTCCGAAACAAAAAAGGGAAGTGCCCAAAATGTAAGTTATAAAAGCGATTGAAAGGGTTCCTTCCTCATAACGTTTACATCAACATTAGGCGGAATCTGATCAAACTGAGGTACAGAATCCTTAAAACTATATCCTGTTTAAAAATAATGGACACAAAATGCCATCTAGTGGTCTTTAATTCAGCTTAAAATGCATATATGCGTCACCTGTCCCTTACGTTTGTTCTCCAGTGATGCGTAGGTGGTACTCCTGTCTGGAAAGGGTTAATGCATCCTTATTTCATTCTTAGGAACTTTATGCCATTATTACTTTTTTAATTGATTGAGATTTGTATTTTTTCTGCTTTCAAAATGATTGGAATATTGGAAATTTCAAAGCTTTAGGAAAGGGAGAAGGGAAAGCTTAGCTCTGTAAATGCATGGTCAAAGAAAATTTGGCAGCAATCTGGCCAATATTATGCCAGGTTTAAGATCTTACTATTGAGTGATTTATTAGGATTTACAATCTGTGTTGTAAAATTTATCTTAGTGTGTAAAAAAATAACCATGCAACTTCCTGAAAAGCAGATCTAATTTTTAAATCATTTCTGTTTGAGAACAGCAAATTAAAGTTCTGTATGTATTTCTTAAATTCTGATGTCATATGAATACATAAAGTTTTTACTTTTTATACCTTCAAAAAAAATTAGTGGCCTTTTATTTATATGAAATATATTTTCCTTAAAATCCTCAGAACTCACATAAAGGAAAAATGATTTTTTGAATGTTAAACTATGTACTTTCAAGAATTTTTTAATGTATATTTGTGATGGATGTAAAGGGGAATAATATATCAAACCATGTATGCCAAAAATTTATAATCTAATTTATATTATAATTATAAATTTATGGGGATTTAATTGCTCAGTATGAAGCCCCCTCCCTATTGATCATATTCTTTAAAAAATTTTTTTATCTCGTATAACATTTAATGTGTGTGCAGTTTAAAATGATGAAACTGGTTAAGGTCATATAATTTTTTCTTTAATGTTTTTAATCATTAACTATAATTTATTGTGCGTTGTTAAAGATATAGACTGATTTCCTTTAATGTAAAAGTAATATAGTAGTGTAATTTTTAGATAAGGATGAGTGTAAAGAAAACAATGGAGGTTGTTCCCAAATTTGTCATGATCTTCCTATTGGATATGAATGTAGATGTCGAGATGGTTATGTCCTTGCTGATAATAGAACTTGTGAAGGTAATTGTTTTTTTCTTATTTTTGTTTAAAGATACAGGATTTTTTTACATGTCATAAAATCTATTAAAAAAGAAAAATTACAAATAAATTTCTTTTAGATATTGATGAATGTGAAATACCAGGCTCATGTTCTCAGCTGTGTTACAATACAAAAGGTAACTACAAATGTGAATGTTTAGATGGCTATATGCTGGAGCCTAACAACAACAGAAGATGTAGAGCTAAAGGTGAGAAGTATATCTGTACCTCCTTAGGAATGTTTTCCATTTGTATAAGAAAAATTTAAATTTAATTTCATCATTCTGTCATTTATTTATGTTCCTACTTTTATATCAAACGAGAGGACATTTCAGAGTTTATACATTGGATAAATTTTTCTCTTGCAGAAGGGCGCACTGTCATATTATTTGCAAATAGGCAGGATATTAGAAAAATTGATACAGAAACTTCTGAATATGTTCCTGTAGTTAGTAATCTTCGGAATTGTGTTGCTCTAGACTATGATTATCGAACTGGTACTGTTATTTGGTCTGATGTAACTGAAGAGGCTATTAAAAGGTATTATTTTCTTTCCCCTTTTTTCCCCTCCTCTTACGGTAAATAATTATGAAGTGTTTGGTTTGAATTGTCATAAATGTAATTTCTGCACAGTATTTAACATTTTATATGCTTTTCAGTGTTCCAATTGATACAGGAGCTCCAGTAACAACAATCATATCTAACAATCTTTTAACTGTGGATGGCATTGCTGTAGATTGGATCTATGGGCACATATATTGGACTGATACGGGCAAGAATACGATTGAAATGTCTGATAAAATTGGAAAAATGAGAAAAACTGTTATTAATGAAGATTTGGATGAACCTAGGGCAATAGTACTGGATCCTTTGGAAGGGTAAGTTTTATTCAATAATGAACTGTGTACAGTAGTATTTTAGTAGAATGTTTTATTGTATGTATTGTGTTTAATCAGATAATTACAATACAGACTGTTTAAAGTAAAATTGAAATTGAAGAGTAAAATGTAATTTTTGAAACTGATTTAAACCTTCAGAAATTAATTTTTGTGTGCTGAAAAATAATTTTATGTTAAATACTTTCTCATTGAAGCAAGAGACGGAAATTGATTTTTGCATTCCAGCCTAAATAAAAGTAATATCTTGATTTGTGTGTGTAGAAAAAGTATTTTAATATTCCAGAATTCTTTATTTGTCATTGTGTGGTAACTTTTTCGTATACATATCTTTTTGTTTAGAGATTTATATGTCATATATTTGAATGCATTGAAAGAAAATTAGTTCTGGAAGTATACTTAATTCTGTAAATAAATAGGTTTAAATGTTTTTGTTGCTGTATTGGTAATTTTTGGAAGTTATTTTATTAAAATTTTTTAAATTCTAGATGGATCTACTGGACTGATTGGGGTGAACCTGCTAAAATTGAAAGAGCTGGAATGGATAGTAGTCATAGAGCTGTAATTGTATCTTCTGATATTAAATGGCCCAATGGTCTTGCACTTGGTAAATTTAATGCCATGTTAATTTAGCTTATAAAAGTGATGTTTAAAATATTTGATCATGCTGAATATTGGCCAATTCGAAAAGGTTAATTAAAAACTTGTTTAAAGGAATATTTAATTTTATTTGCTAAAAATATTTACCAGCAAAGAATTATACACTGAATTTTCAACTCGTTGATATATATATATAAGATAAAACAATATCTAAAAGATAAATTATAATTTAAATTAACAATAACCCCTTAATTTTAATTTAGTATTCCGCTTTCTATTCTAAAAATAGTAATTGCTCTTTTTCACCGTGTCAATTCGAGACTAATCTATGTCTATCAGTCTTGCGCAATGCTGGTGATGTGAATGGAACTAAAACTCAAACAGCCAATAATAATCTTATAGCAGTATTACTTATCCAATAAAATTACATTGAGAACCAAAACTAATGCATTCTGCATCAAAATTTCATCCTGAGCACAATACACTTGCTTTCTATGCGTCAGCCCAGCTGGACTGCTGCTCTCTTATTGCAAATTTATCAGAAATGTAAACATTTTGAAATAAGCCCAAATAGTGTGCCAAATTGCTTGTGGCTACAATGGGTTTATTGAAATAAAAATGAAGATTGATTCTGCCTCAGCTATCAGTTTCTTATTCATTGCAGATTCTCCAATTTTTTACATAGGCTACGCATCAACATTGCTACATGTTTTTCATCACACACACATGTATATGATGTATAACTTCTTTTTGATAACCTCATCATCGGTAGTTTACCACAACTGAAAAATCAAAGAGCTACTATTTATAAAGAAATAAAAAATGAAAAGTAATTGTATTTTTATGTTAACGTATACAGTCAAAAGTCTTTAATGCGGACTCGTTGGGACTTCGGCGATTCCGGATTATCGATTTTTCCGGATTATAGATAATCAGTTTAAATCTGGTAAGATGGCGTGCAAAAATTATAAAATTAAAAATATGAAACCATAATTTATGAAATAAAGAGCAATTATGATCTAAAGGGTATTAAAATTTACAAAAAAAAGCTTAATATTTGTTTACTTTATTAAACATTTCTTTCAACGTGCGCATGCGTAAAGCATATATTACGCATAGTCGAAATTAGAAAATTGCAACCAGAAAGCTATTTGATGTGTATTCGTGATATTTATAATGATGAGGAAATTGATTTAAATCATATCGGAGTACATTGAGATGAAACACTACATTTAGTAAGGAATTATAAGCCGAATAAAATAAAAACATCTGCCCTGAAGATGAGGATAGTGCTGACTATCAACTTCCAGTTCATTGCGCGCCGCGATGTCCCCCCCCCAACAGAGCAGTGTGAAATTGATAAACAGATTTCGAAATGGTTAGAGAAACAAATCACTTCTCTTTCGCTTTCTTCACATCTTTATCCCTTTTTTGCAGCAATTCCACTTTTTGTTTAATGAACATTCAAACATGCTTTCTCTTTGTAAATCCTTTGGCAGCTCCAGAATCGGAAATTCTTTTTGACATGATCGAAAGTTGAAACTTACTTTTATAAAATTGCTCTAACAGTCTGCAAAAAATAATAAGCCGGATCCAATTAGAAGATTAAGGAAGAACGCAATCTGCAACATTAACTGAAATAGATAATTAGATAATTCTAGCTTAGCTTATACCGTTCGTTATACATTAAATGCACATGCGTAAACGTATTATGCGCATGCGTACACGCATATGAGCATGCATAAAGGTATTACACACATGCGCAGAAAGTTTTTAGCTTTGAGGTCCAGATTATAGATCATTCCGGATTATGGACGTCCGGATTAAAGACTTTTGACTGTATATTTTAATTTGTGTGATACTTAAAAATTGAAATGTGATGTAAATTGTTTTTGTAATTTTAGATACTAAGATCTCGTCAAAAAACATACATAAACTGTCAGTTCTGGGAAAACTTGAGCAGTGCGAAGAGAAGATGATTAAAATATGATAGCAATCAAATCTGTTTATTGTTATATTTGTTATGTCCAAAGTGCTACATATTAATGTGATATGTAACTTTAGTGTAGAGTTGTGGCATAGTTTTGGAAAGGCATGCCACCTTATGAAATATTGCTATATTTCTGCCTGCAAAAATATGTTTCCAGATATACCTAGTTGTTTATTCAGTTTCAAATATGTTGGAAGATAACTACCCAACATCTTAATGTATCCTATACACATTCAGTATGAAAAATTCTAAAGATCTGGTTGCTCAAGCAAGAGTTTTGATGCTATGCAGACATTCTCGTGAGATATCTGTTATGTGTGTTTCGGTATTATATCCTTGAAAAATGTTCTCTGACAGATGTGCTATAACATTGGCAGTGCAGCAGTTTGAAGGATAGTGACATATTTTCAGTACTGCATAGGTTGAAGTGCTGCAGAAAATCACTCCCAGTGGCTGCACATTTATATTCAGGTTCTACGCAATGATAATACCAGATGTGATAAATTTCCTCAGTCTTGCATAATGAGCTACATTCGCAAAGCTGCATTTGAAGGTTTCAAGAATCAGAACAAAAACTGTGATTTGTTCTTAAGCAAGATAACAGCTCTAATCTAATACAACTTGATTGCAGTGTCTTCAAAATAAATGTTGCTTCCTATGCTTAGTAAACATTAAGGATAAGACTTTTAGTTTATACCAAAATTTACTCCAGCTTTTGTTAGCTTTGTTTTGCCATGTTAAAATCTTCAGCAGTATTACCTGACTGTAATAACTGTCTTGACTGTTGTGCTAAATGATCAATCCAAGTTGATGCATTGTCTAAGATACGTACCTTGAATATGCTTTAGATCCTCTCAGTTTATTCACTGGCAGTGGCTTTTCTGTATCTGTAAGTAAGAGATCTTTGCATGTTAATTTTCAAAACTTTGAGATGATTTCTTCTAGGTGCACAGATTTTTTTTTTATAAAGTATAATTTGAATAATACTAATGTCTTCCAACACTGTTATTTATTAATTATATCTTCCATATTAGCATTCAAGTTACAAATATAGATTAATATCCGATGAGCATTATTCTAGTGAGAATTAATTTGTTTCTGATTAGAATGGAAACCATGCTGCTTAATTAAATACAATATTTTATTGTGGTATAGAATGAAAAATTGGGAAACATTAAATATATTATTAGCTATTTATTTGTCTTCAGACCTACAGTAACCAGTACAGTGGATGCAGGCCTAAGTTGAAACCCCTGAACTAGATATAACTATTATAATTAGTGGTAATTTTGAAGTTTAATGTATACAATAATTGCCTGTGTGGTATATCAAGCATTTAAGCAGTGTAATTATTATATATAACGTGATAATAAAAGTTTTTCATCTTATTCTGAAATTTCATTTGTTAAAATACACTATTATAACACACTGCCAAATTTTAGAGGGAAAAAGTGTAAAAACTGGGATCTTATTTTCAAGTAAATACGGTATTATCTCAATAGTAAGTGCCAATCCATAAAATGTTGTTTTGAAAAAGTGTAAAAATTTTTTTAAATATTTTTAAATTTCAGATTTTATTTCAAAAAAAATATTTTGGGCTGATGCGAAGCTCCATATTGTGAGTTCTGCCGATTTTAATGGAGATAACCGAAGAGTGATATTATCTTCTCCAGTCATATTGAAGCATCCATTTTCAATTGATGTCTTTGAAGTGAGTTTGCTTATTGTAAAATATTAGATGCTTGTGAAATTAGCTTCTGTAATAATGTATTAATTTTAGATATTAAGTGATGACATGATGCAGATTTTAGCAGAATACAAGTTGTATTTCAGATGTGTTGTTTCAGAAAGTAGATAATTTATTTTTTACATACTTGAATTTTACTAGAGCAAAATTGTAATTTACTTTCAAAATTCAGTTTTGAATGAGTGGGATTAACTTATATGTGTAATTTAGATTTCTTTTATTCTCTAAAAATTATTTTAAAATTCGTTTTAAAACTGTAATTTATTTTAGGATTGGGTATACTGGTCAGATTGGGAATCGGAAGCTATTCACAAGATGAATAAATTTAACGGAGAAGAAAAAAGTGTAGTTGCCACTGGAATTTATTCACCCATGGGCATTCATATATATCATCATTACAAACAACCTGAAGGTAATTTTTTTCAGCTCTCCAAAAATTTAAAATATACAATATTGTTGTAGACATAGTTTTAGAGGTGTTGGAAAATTCCTGGAATGGTTCTTGATTTGTATGAAATTAGAAGAGTTACATCAATCAATAAATAAAAAATTTCTTCTTCTTTACTAATATGCATTAAAAACTATTAAAATGTTTTTATGCAGGATTTTTTAAGGGAGAGACACAGAAAATTAAGTATAAATAACTATATTTAAATTATTATATTTATCGATTTTTGTTATGCTGTATTTAAAAAAAAATTATGTAGAGTAAATTGTTAAATATGTGTAATAGAATTCCAGCTACAGTAACTGGATTTCCAGCATTAGAGAGAATTTTTTTAGATATTGATTGCGTTTTATTTAAATGAATATTGCACTATTAAAGAAATACTCTGATCAAGTACTAAATGCCAAAACATACTTTTTTGAAAAATTAAGTTATAAAATTACTTTTTGTTTACATAATTTTAATATAGTAATTAATTTTTCATAAATGCAGTAGTGGAAACAACAAAGAAATAATTGTTATAATATCACTTGTTAGGTATATGAGAAATTTTGTGTTTTTTCTTGTGTTCATCATAGCAGTAGTCATTTCGTTTTTTAAATTTCATGTATTTCAAAGCCTTAGGGGAATGTCTGCCTTGTCAAAGTAAGTTACGTTACTTGAAGCATTATTGAAGCAGAAATATCTTTGTCGAAAATGTTACTTGATGCACATTGTGTTATTTAAAAAACAGTTATGTACTCTAATCTTATTTCTAAAAGTAAAAATAAAGAACTTCTTGTATAAACCTCATTATGCATATCTAGTTAATGTGTGTAATAAACTGCCTTGTTATATATCTCTTAATAGAGTTTAAAGCTAAATAAATTAGTGCAGCATGTTTGTAATGCGTGCTTTTCATTTCTAGGAGTAAATCACTGCAGTAACATGAATGGCCACTGTTCTCATCTGTGTTTGCCAACTCCTAATATTACAGTTCATTCTCCACGTTATACATGTGCCTGTCCTGATGGAATGAAACTAGCCGCTGATCATACAACATGTGTATTTGTCAGTAAGTTGTTTGTGTTGTAATATATTAATGGAGGAAGTAGATACTTTTGAACATTAAATTTCTCAATTTATATCCAATGTATGTTTTCTGTTTTAAACATTTTCTCCAGTTTTAAGTTCATTAAATATAATATTATCATTCTAATATTTCAAGTCAAAGTATTTTTTATCTAATTAAAAATACTATAATTTGCAAACTGTCATAAATGGACTCTATCTTTTGTAAGACGGAATCATTCATGACATCGTTGTAATTTTGAACATTATTAACATACTGAAATTTTGAACATTGTCATTTTCTGTTGATGGAAGATGTGGAATTCAAATTTCATGTCTTTGTCATTTTCTGTTGATGGAAGATGAGGAATTCAAATTTCACGTCTTAAAAATTATCTCAAACAAGTTTTTATCAATTTCAATTTTCCTTTAGGATGCAACTTCTGATATCGAAATTTTAAAAGGAAAAAAAAATCGTATTAGGCGCTCATAAATGAAGTATCTGTAAAAAAAGCATTTGAAAGTAGGAACTTTTTTGTGTGTGTCTTAACTATTCTGCGAAATGAGACTGTTTTTCACTAAGCAGCTGCTATCCGGTTTTTCAAGACAAAGAATTGATCTAGTGTACATGCCCCTTGTTGAGCCAATAAAATCATTGCTTCATTGAAGAAAGTATTTTATCTGCAAGTAGACTTAAAAAAAAAGTTTGAAATTACATTTCTGGATTTATCAAGTTTCACCAGAATGCTTATAATCAAGCATTGCCATATTTAAATTTTAATGGTTTTTGGATTTTTTTTATATACTTTAGTTTTGTTGGAATGTTTGAATATTGTCAGATTCTGATGGTTCTGAGTACAATTCTACCATTTAACACTTTTCTCAATTTTTGAACCCCAACCACTTATTATGAGAAAAGAACTTTTTCATAGATTTAAAAAATAGAATTGACAGTAAGACACATGCCAATGATTGGAGGGATTGCTTCTGTGATTTACTGGGGAAAGAACAGTGTACCTAACAAGCAATGACATAAAGAACTCGTAATCTGATTTATTTGCTCTTGAGCTTTATTTTATACATTATCTTGAAAAATATTTTCTGATTATTTACAGCCTCATAAATCTTGTCTATTTGGAATGAAAGGTGCAGTGTGTTACCATTGGCTGAACTCCCTGAGTACTGGGAGTTTGACCTGGGTTCAAACCTAGGGAAATGGATTGGCTATATGGTTTTTGGTTTTCCTCATGTGTAGTAATATTAATACAAGCTAGTTTCCATCAGAACGTACTTCACAAAGGACTTTCTCCTGTTTGGTAGATAGCCCCCGTGTGCTTTGCTATACTCAAATAACCTAAATTTTTAACTTCTCATTTTGTGAGAAAAATTTCTTTAACTCTTTCGCATCAAGAGAGGAAAACTTATACATAAATTGTAAAATTTTTTATTTTAAAAATGATCTAAAATATTATAAGATAATAAATGCCTATTTTATTATTCGATTGAATAATACGAGGGCTATCCAGAAAGTAGATTACGTTTTGGAATAAAAAAATAAACAAAGTATAGGAAACAAATTTTATTATATACAGATGAAAGCCACACTCAAATACTACTTTTCTACATAGTCACCATACAAATTAAGGCATTTATCGTAGCGATGTACGAGCTTGGAAATTCCTTCGTCGAAAAATTCGGCCGCCTGCGCCTTCAACCACTTCGTTACCTCTTCTTGCAGCTGTGCGTCGTCATCAAAACGCTGCATAGCCAGCCACTTCTTCATTGCTGGGAATAGGTGGAAGTCGCTCGGTGCCAGGTCGGGACTGTACGGCGGATGAGGAAACAACTCCCACTTAAAAGATTCAAGAACTTTACGAGTGACATTTGCCGTGTGGGGCCGGGCGTTGTCGTGAATCAACAAGATCTTAGAGCTCAACATTCCTCTGCGCTTGTTTTGAATTGCTCTTCTGAGTTTTTGGAGAGTTTGGCAATACCTTTGAGAGTTTATTGTAGTGCCTCTTTCCAGGAAGTCCACCAAAATTACACCTTTTCTGTCCCAAAAAACAGTCGCCATCATCTTCCTTGCCGACATTGTTTGCATGCATTTCTTGGGTTTTTGGGGAGAACTTGTGTGCCCCCACTGCATTGATTGCAATTTCGTTTCACAGTTCACATGTTTCACCCATGTTTCGTCACCAGTAACGATGCGATCGAGTAAAGAGTCACCATCCTTATGGTAAGCGTCCAAAAAGTTCAACGCTGCAGCCATTCGCTGATTTTTGTGGTCCTCTGTCAAGATTTTTGGAATCCATCTTGCACAAAACTTGTGGTAACCAAGCTTTTCGCTGATGATTTCGTGCAACAAACTTCGCGAAATTTGTGGAAAACTCAAAGAAAGTTCCGTTATTGTGAAATTTCGATTTTCACGGACTTTAGCATCGACTTTTTCGAGAAGTTCGGCGGTCACTATGCTGGGTCTCCCACTTCGATCTTCGTCGTGAACATTGGTTCGGCCATTTTGAAATCTTATGACCCACTGACGCACTCCACCTTCAGTGATAATGTTGTCCCCATACACTTCACGAAGCTGCCGATAGATTTCTATCGGTTTACAGTTTTTTGCAGTCAGAAACCTTATTACTGAGCGCACCTCGCAGCTCGCGGGATTTTCAATTAACGCAGACATTTCAAACCGTCACAGTATCTGAACGGAGCACAGCACGAACCTCTCACTAGCACGGCTAGATGCAGACTGAGCTGCGCAACGCTCTGACCCCAAGATGGCCGCGCTAGCCCCGCCCCTAGCGGACACAGACGGAAACGTAATCTACTTCCTGGATGGCCCTCGAACAAAACTTTTTGAAAATATATGCAATGACCCCTGAGAGCAATGCGGTATGGGTAAGCACTAGAAGGTCGAGTTGGTACTCTGAGTCGATGGCGGGATTTGGGGCGATTGTGAAAGTAAGATAAATTTTTGACACAATAACAGAAAACTTTCCACTTGTTTATTAATATAGAGAAAAGAACATATATATTTGATAATTCTGAATAGTGATATATATTGATATACTATTCAGATGCGATGTACATTTCTCTACTATTTAAATCTAGAGTCTTCTTCTAAATGTTTGCTTGTTTTGTCTTTCATGTTGACAGCATTATCATATCCCTGGCTTCTATGGTTATCAAATTGTAGAACATTTTAATCCTGAAAAGCCGAATAATAATGTCAATCTTTGATCAGCAGAATCTTATATTTCAAGAAATTCCTAACATTTTACAATTTGTTTCCACTTGTCTCAGAACATATCGTATTTTCAACAGACATTTGTTGTGCTTCCTTTCTAACATGATTAGGGTTTAGAAAAGTTGCCTCATCGGCTTTTTAACTCATAATTTTTTATGTTTTATCTCAGTTGCTTTATTGCGATGATGTTGCTTGCGAGATTAGCTTGACTGACATCATCCAAAAAATGCTGTCTCTAGCAGCTGCCTACGTTGCCTGTATATGGAGCTAGAGCTGGTTTTTGAGTACTAAGTGAAATCATTCATATATACTTTCAGTCAATACTTTAAAACTTCTCATTGCACAAATGCAGGTTGAGTCAAAAGTCGGAAAAAGTTTTAAAAATCATAGTAATTTTATTTTTAAACTTGGTTACATTAGCATTTTACTTTGCCATGTGCAATTATCATAATATGGAATTTTTCTTCTTTGATTTAGAAAGATCTTTTCAGTGTGCATCATTTATTGCTCTTTTGATAATGCTATAAGATCTTTTGGAGCATTATGTCAGCATTTCTCTTAGAATATCATTTTGTGGGGTACAGTAAGTTATTGCTTTCTTTTTTCAAGCATATAAAGCCAAAATATTCAAGGACTTTTATATAATTAATTCCAGTAGCTACTAAAGTATAAAAATTATGCAAGATTCCCTCCCCCCATTTAGATGTAAAAATCTTCTTTGAAAGACCCGTATCCTCAAATATATGAGTACTACTTGTTTAGTTGAAAATGTACCCTTGGATTATTTTGTTTGCTAGGGGAATGCTTTCTGTTTTATCATGGCTCATCTTTGTCATTAAATATTAATCTTGTATTTGGTTGAACTGTATCTTCTGCATTCTGGGCTCCTTCTTAGAAATATGAACGTGTATACGAACATGACCTTAGATAAGTGTTTACATGTTAAGATGTTAGTGTGGCTTCTAATTTATTTTCTTCATCCCTGCTACTTGTAATTTATTCTCTTGGTTTGAAACTGAAACACATCCACTCTGCTGTGGCTGTAAAAGTATTGAAGGCTTGAGTTTCTTATCAAAATTTTTTTGTTTTTATATTTCTGGAAAACTGTAAAATAAAAACTGGAAACATTTGCTTGAAGGATAGTTTTATAGATTTCTTAAAATTTATGGAATATTTGGAAAACTTTGTAGTATTAAGTCTAAATATTGTGCATAAATGTTTGTTTTTAATTCATTAAGTTTATGAACAGTTGCTTTTGTTTTAGCTTAAAAGTTTTTATATTTTATGCATGTTAGATGACTTATTTAAGGGAAAATTGCTTAAATTTAAGAAGTTGAAACCAGGGTTGCCATGCTACCAGGAAATTCCAAAATTGACCAAAACGTTCGGGGAAAGTCAGGGATTTTAAATATTTTAGTCAAAATGTGGAAGCATCAGAGAATTTCATATGGTGACACCCTCTTAAAAAGCAAGTTTTGCGCTGACATTTGAAACAATCACTTTCTTGGCGTTATGGCGTGAGCATCATTTGGCTAGGTGGCAGAGAGCTAATTTTTGCAGCTCCAATTAAATTGTCTTTTAGAAAGGCAAAACTAGTTTTCAGTAACCTCGAGAATCGGGACACTCGCATGCACATGTGCAGTGCATGTTGAACTAAAGACAGTACGTATTCTCCTATAAAACAGAATTGTTTTAATCCTAGCATATGGTATCATGGAGGTTAGATTAGCATTCATGTGTACACATGGGATTTGGTGACATTATGATGGGTCATTTTGGTGTTGGCAACAATTTTCAAAATCGTGCCGAGGCCATAGCGTATACTAGGATTTTACCACAAAATCTTTTAAACTTTTTTTTTTCCTTTTTAAAAAATGCCTTATCTGCCATTTTGCAGTAAAATAAAATAAAAAAAAAGTTATGAGTCATGTAGGCTAATAATTTAATATAACTATATTTGCCAAGATATCGTTGATTATTCTAATTCAATTTTTAAGTAATTATCTTTATTTTAATGTCATTTGTGTTACTTAATGTTGCTTCTTCCCTTAAAATTGATTTATTATTAGTAAATATTTTCAAAATTCAGGAAATTTTCTCTGACATGATCCTGAAACTAATTCTAGCAGTATGATGACATACCTTCACAAAATTTAATGCACATATTTTTTGCTTATTTATGCTGCTAAATAAATATAAAATACTTGAATTTATTTTAAAGTATCATTAAATAGGTTTCTTTCGTTTAGCTCCAAAATATCTCCAAAAAAAAAAAAAAGACATTTTTTAACCCAGCTTGGGCAGATTCTAATCCTAATCTTTGGTGGAGAAAACAACTCCTATTATAGTTATAATAGTAATGCTTTGGGAATTCTAGATAAGTCATATGTAATTGGCAAATTTTTGAGTTTTCAAGTGGTACCAAAATTAATTTACCTTTTAGCACAGCCAATGTGCATTATGCAGACAGACTGGAATTTTCTTAAAACACACCTATAAAAGTCAGGGAATTTATTTCTCCTGTTTGAGTGGCAGCCCTGTGAAACATACTTTTTTCTTGACATTCAGATTTTATATGTTTCATTAATTTTATGCTTAATGTCCCCCTCTTCACCAGTTGTCTTTTCAAAATGTAATATACTTAATGAATTTTGGTGCATTTTTAATGCATAACAGTATATATTATTTAAATTGTTATCTGAGTATGATTTTTTTTATTTTAAATTACAAGAAGACCAAAATTATATTTGAATTGATATCATGCTTGTACATCTTGTGTATATTTTAAAATATTTATTTGATTATGCATTTTCATTGATATGATGTTTTGGAAATATTTTTTTGTGGTAAGAATGCAAGATTATAAAAATTAAGATGAAATGTACTAACTTTCAAATCATTAATGTGAAAGTTTTTTAGTAATTTCGAGATATTTTAACGAAAAACTGCCATAAATATTTTTGAAATCTTGTTTGAAAAGAACTTTTATGAAGTAAATCAAGGTTCTAATATGCATTTAAAGTTTTAAGTTCTTTTCAAATTTATGTACTTTTTGAAATCATCTCTTTATTTAGAGTTGTCGAATTCTTCAACTGTCCCTGCCAGTCATAGTACTACTACCTCTCCTGTTTCTCAAGGCAGTGATATTAATGTCATCTCATCTACTACAGAGCTTTCTTATCACTTTATTAATGATTCAAATAATTCAAGATTAGATTTTGGCAATATTGAGCCTTCTGAAGTTTACACCATAGGTATACATATTTTCTGGATTAATTTTTTCCATATTTCGTTCTAACTTTGGTGCTCCTTTGCATGCCTGATCTGTATCACCACTGAATTTTTTTGCATTGAAATTTTATCAACTTTTAATTTATATATATTTTTTCACTTCAGGTGTGTAGTTATTTTGGTAATATAAATATTTGTCATTTTTCATTGCATGATGCCAACTTGTGTAAGTTGATTTGTTTTTATGCTTTTAAGACACTGAATTTTGCATTTGATCAACATTTGTTAGAAAACACTTGGGAAGATATTTGGCATCAGTTCAGTAATCTGCAGAAATTCTTTTTATTTTTTATCTGTAGATATGATAAATATATTTTTGTAATTCTGATGATTATACTAATATCTCCTATCGTTTTAATGTAAATTTCTATATGTTGAAGTATGCTAAAAATCAAATTTAAAAAATGATTAATTTTTCGAGGTATTATTTATTTATATGTCTGGTGTTTTATTTTCTTTATCTGTTTAGGGATTTGTGTATTACATGCTTACAATTCTTGCATTCAAATTATGCAATATTTCACTATTTTTAGTAATTGCTAACAGTGCAGTTCTAAAATCTATTTTGAATCCTTCGATAAATGTTTTTATGGAATTTTAACACATCAATAATAAGGTATAGATTTTGGGGGGGGGGAGAAATACACAATTCAGAGGATGTTTGAGATGTCCTTTCTCCTTATTTCATCTGGAAAAATAGATTTTTGCAAAAGAATTTTAATACTAATTTCGTTTTCAGATCTCCATTCTCCACATGTCAGTTGGCAAGATAGTTCCTCCCCAAAAGTGTCAAAGTAATAGTTTAATTTTGTATCCACTTAAGTGCAGTCAGTCCCCAACAGTTGGTGAGTGGGTAAGACTTTGGTTTGACCTATGTTTGAACCCAGGTAAACAGGTCCCATCTGTGTCATTTTTTGTGGTTTTATCCATGTGGTTATATGAGTACATGCCAATTTCCCCTAGAAAGTTCTCTGGAGAAGATAGCTCTCCTCTTTGGCAGGCAACCCTCATGTGCTTTCCCATGTTCATGTAAGCCAACCTTACATAGCAATCGTGCCAGCTTTTTGAATGCAAGTTCATGCATTTTCTAAGAGTTTTTTGTTCAATGAGATACACAAAATATGTGAATAAAATTTTGTATTTTGAGTTGTTAAGAAATAACTGCTGAATTCCTCCAATGTTACACTGTTTTCCCAATCTAAATGTTTCCTACGAGATTTTTATCAGGATTTTGCTTTTAACTTTAAAGCACTTATAAGACCTTAAACAAATTATACCATTATAATGAATCAACTATTGAATTGGAAATAGTGCATTAATGTTATTTATGTTGCAGAGTTTTTCTTCTCATGTTTATATATCTTTGTAGACGCATTGAAAACACTGAGAGGTAATTAATCAACTACTCTGCAAGATTAAACACAAAAATATACTTAAGTATATTGTTGAAGAGTTTGAAGGACTGTTGAGACAACGGACTGCTGATAGGTTTTATATTTCTCCCCTTTGTGTTAATTATGTTATGTGTCCCCTCTTTCTTTTTTTTTTTTTTTAATTAGAACTTTTATGCAGGTAGCTGAATTCTATTTTTTCTGTTTTCGATTATGATAAAATTGAATTACAGTTTTGAAATAATTTGAATTATTGAACTTTGAAATGGATATCAGTGCTGTTACATTAGAAGTCAGAATAAGTGCTTTCTTCACATAATTTATTATAAAAATAAGACTTCTTTTATTTTCAGTACACCAATAATAAATTGGGAGAAATGGTTTGCCACAGTTTTAGTAAATTGTGTGTTTGCTTGACTTTGTTGTATTCATTTGCAAATTTGTGCATATTTTGAATTAGAAACTTTTCATCAGATGCAAGGGAGCAGTTGTAAAAATGTCATATTCTGAACATTTTGATTTAGATTTATGTTGACCAAATTTATTGTTTTGTTAAACATATATGGACAATGTATGATCAGTATTTCAAACTAATAGTCGTATTGTTGCTTTTTTTGTATTGTTATAAATCCTAAAATTTTAGAAGTCTGAGTAAATATTTTCCGTTGCAGATAATACCTCAAGTTTACATGGGAATGTATCAGAAATGCAACATGGAGATGTTTTGTTTCCTGATACTGGAAGACTTGCTGGGATAATAATTGGTGCTTTGAGTGGAATAATTTTATTATTAGCTTTGGTAATTATCATTCTTGATATGAATCCCTTCGTAAATTTAACAGTGTAAATCATAGAATAAAAATTCATAAAAATAATTTATCGAAAGATTCATTAACATCATAAAATGTAATATGCTCTTTAGTAAGTACTCATCCTCTGCTGTTAAAAAGATACATTTAAAATTTACAAATTTAAAATTCATTTTGGGGTAATAGTGTGCTAGTATTTCAATTGCATTTTATGAGCTGTTAATTAATATACAAATGGATTCTGTATTTTACTCTGTATAGAGATTCGTCTGACTACAATCCAGTCAGAGTGACCCTGAATATTAGCAGTTATACTTCACCAGACAGAAGAGATTTTACTGCAGGCTGGCAAAAATATGCCAAAGCTGTACTAAATATGCATTACACAACTCCAACGATAAACTCGAGGAGAAGACATTGACAGTTTAATCAAGGCATTCACAATCACTGTTCAAGATGCTCATGAATATGCCAATAAGGAAATTAAAGTGCAAAAAGTGAGAAGGATGAAGGAGCTGACTAAACTAATCAAGGAATGCAATGCTGCTTGGAGGTAGTTTCGGAGAATGAGACACGGTAATGACAAAGGGATATTCAGCAGGTTAAATAATGCAGTCAAGTCTCTTGCACAAGCATAACTCGAGTGGACCAATACTTAAATTCTCTCTCCATGGAAGATAATTCTCTGTGGAGCCATTGCTGAATACAAGAAATGCTTTGATAACATTCTGCCCCTTAAAGGCCACAACATTATCCATTAAACTGAAACTGAGAAGGCAGCACTTTTAGCACAACATCTGGAATCTCAGTTTCATGCAACCAACATCCATAATACTACAACTGAAAACTTCCTCACCAATTACTCCACAGGCCCATGCACTGACAACATAATTCCAGTCATGCCATCGGAAGTCGTTAGCTATATCAAAAAGTTAAAGAAGAAAAAGAGCCCTGGCATCAACTGAATCTCTAACCTTATGATCAAAAACTTCCCATATGCAACCTCATCTTGAAATGGCAGTACTTCCCAAGTTAATGGAAGATGGCTTCAATCACTCCCATTCTTAAACATGGCAAACCTGCCTCAGCACTCATATCCTACAGACTCATAAGCCTGTTATCATGCCTGAGGAAAGTAATAGAAGACTCAATGACTACATCAAAAACGACTACTCAAAAGACTCAATTACTTAATTGAATGAAGGGACATCCTCATAATTCTGAAGAAGTTTCTCGATGACAAACCACCTTTACAGGGTGGTGGAGGATCACCGAAGGATTGGCTCACAGAAAAGTCATTGGGGGAATCTATTGACATAGCTAAGGCTCTTGATCATGTATGGTTGGATGCCCTCATAAACATGTTACACTGTCTAGATTTCCCAGACTACATCACAAACATTGTGAAATTCTACCTAACAGGTATACATTTTGTCGTTCGCTTCATATTCCATCCTCCAAGCTATCTGTGCCGGTGTACTACAAGGATCCTTACTTGGACCCACATTATTTTATATTTATGTGAATGACATTCCCACTACACCCAACACAACATTCACAATGTATGATGATGATACAGCAGTCTGGCACAAAGTGTGAAGTTCCATCACCCAGCGGTTACAACAACACATACAAGCATTAAAGACTTAGCTTGCCAAGTGGAAAATCCTTGTGAATGCTGACAAAATTCAAGCCATCTTATTCACAAGGAAAAAGAATATTAAGAAAAACCTACAGTTTTATGGAACTATGCTACCCTGGGCTAAACAAGCCCTTTATCTTGGGGTGATCCTCAATAAAACTCTTACATGAACCCCGCAAATCACATCTATAATACAGAAGTTTCAAGTGCGTAAAGCTCAAATCTTCCCCTTAATTGCTCAAAACAGTGGTTTGGTATTAGATAACAAGTTACTCATTTATAAGTCTGTTCTGCATCTATTACTATGTACAATCTGGGTGTTTGCCTGTAAATCAAACAGAAAAAATTACAAATGGAGCAGAACTGTGTTCTCCACCAAATTACAAATCACCCGTTGTACTTAGGAAATAACCGCATCCATGTGGAGCTTAATATTCCTCTGCTCACATACATAATAATGTCACCAAAAGATTCCATGAAAGTCAGGATGCAAACAGTAGTACAGCTATTAAAATCTGACTACGACTATAATGACTAGAGCAATTTAAATAGACCACTGGCCATCTTAAACATTTATAACATGTCTTCTGTATTAAATCTGTATGAATTGGTAATTGTATGTATATTCATATTCTAATGTCATACACTCTGAATTTCTCCATGTGTCATGTTTATGTTATCATACTCATAAATTATTTATGAGAAGCCCTGGAGTTTTTCGTACTTTCATGTGTTAACCTGCTTTTATTTCAGGTTCTTTTCACCAGTTCAAATGGTACAGCCTAACATTTTAAAGATATCAAAAATTTTAAATAAATAAATAACAATAACTGTCATCCTCCTTAAGTATCTAAAATCATAACTCCATTGTTACTATGTTCTAAAACTTTTTATAACTTCATGCGTAGTTAATTAAAGTACAACTAGAAAAGTTTTACTATTCAATTAAGGGGTAGGCCCTTAGTCCAGGTACCAGGGTGATACACCGTTCTACAGTTGTCTGTATAGAGATTGAAAAAATCATGACTAATATTTTTGAGGCTATATATTTCATATATATCATGACTATATATCTAAATTAAATTTCAAAAATAAAAAAAATTTCCTAATGAGATGGTGCTTTAGAAAAGGAAAATTAAAAGAAAAAGGAAATTTTCAATTTGTTTCTAGCTGAAATAATCTAAAACATTATTCTGAATTAAATTTTTATAAATGTGAATCTTTAAATGTTAGTTTTAATTTTATTCCTCACTATCCTGATTATTCTCTTTTCTCTCTCTGTTAACATGTGTGACTCTTATCTTTTCCTTCATAATTTATAGCCTTTATTCTTTCAGGTTGGTTTCTTGATATACAAGCAGTATTTAAGAAAAAATGTTACTAGCATGAATTTTGATAATCCTGTATACAGAAAAACAACTGAAGATCAGTTTAGTTTGGAAAAGAATCAGTATCAGCCTGCAAGGTCATATCCACCAGTAAGTTGAATTTTTTGTTCACAATTTTAAAATATATTATTCTCAATATTATGAATTACTTTGACGAACAGAGAGCTATAAATGAGAACAAAATGCTCTTTTCATATATATGTTTTAAGTTAAGTATGTAACCATGTACACCGAAAGGCCATTACATTATGACCACCCTGTTAATACCATGTAGTACCATCTTCGCCCTAAAAACTGCTAGCACCCAGCGTGGCATTGATTCCATAAGGTGCTGATAGGTAGTCTGAAGTTTCTGCTATAAAGTTCTCACCAACTGGTCTTGCAATTCCCACACATTGCGAGGGGGTAGCATGGCCGCACAAATTTGGTTTTCCAGGTGAGACCATAAATGCTCTATTGGATTAATGTCAGCTGAATTTGGAGGCCAAGATATGACTTGAAAGTCACTGGAATGTTCCTTGAACCACTCCCTGACAATTCGACCCTTATGACATGGTGCATTATCTTGTTGGTAAACACCATCCCCCACCAGAAATACTGTTGTCATGGATGAGTGAACCTAGCCTGCAACAATGTTCACATAGCGCACAGATGTCAGGGACAGTGCAGAATTTACATATAAGCTACAAAAGCTATAGCTTAGGTTCCCCCTTTTCTTGAGGGCCCCTTATAAAATTGTCCGAGTAAGCAGCTGACATATAAAATATATTGCAGCATTATTTCTCCCAATGCCACACACCCCATACTTTTCATCCAGTTTTTAGTGCATCTTTTTGAAAAACAAAGCACTGTTGTGCCTGGGGTTTGCATTATCGCTAACCAGTTAACTGGTATTGCCGTTAATTATGACATTCAAAATTACTGATAAATTTAGATAGCAAATGGCGGTAATTTCGGTAATTTTTTTAAATTATTTTATAATAGAAATGAAACGTGTAAAATATATAATTTCTTTTCGTGTGAATTGCTCCCTTACATTTGAGCATGTGCTGACCTTTTGTAGTTCAAGTGAGACGGCCTGATGATACAATATCTTTATCTTTTATTTAGTATTTACAGTGGGTTTCTTTGGTAATTTGATTATTGACATTATTTTGGAAAGTTTTTTGTTTGTTTGTTTGTGTGTGTGTGTGTGTGTGTGTATTTACAGGAGTTACATTTCAGGTAAGTGCATTTTACACAAGCACATAACCTAGCTAACACAAGACTATTTTCTACACCATTTATTTTTTTACAATATTTTGATTAAAAACAACCTTGTCGGACAGTTGTGCATAATTAACATGGTTAGTACAGGTGGTATGTTATAATTTTTCTGCAATTGTATTTTAATTAATTAAAAAAGAAGAGAAAATAAAGAGCCCATTTTCTATATTTTCAAGTCAAAATAACAGTAGACTTTGCATGATAACAATTTTTTGTAAATAAACATTAGTAAAACATATTGAAATTAATGACATGTTGTCCTAAATAGGTATAAGTGATAAAACATTAGATACAATATTTAAAATTTATAGATTGATTGATTCTATGTGGACACCTGTAGCTGTAATTAGTTCGTATATATTTTAAATTTTTTTGCTCAATATAATAACAAAATTATAAGTTTCATATATAAACTTATAATTTATTATTAAATATATATTTGAAAGAACTGCACATTACAAAATGCATATTTTTTTTTGATTGTATTAAACTAAGTATTAATCTATGTTTATAGTTTTTTCTTCTTTGATTAAACTAATATTAAAACATGACAGTATATTATTAATTTTCTATCTGCATATATTTATTATAAACCCAGTTAATTTATTCAAATTATATATAAAGTAAGAGACTTATCTTGCATGATTTAAGAACTGCAGGGTACTTCAGTTTATCTGTAGATTCTACTTCAGACCGGTCCCATATTGATCATCTCACTGTTATTGCGAGGTATGTTTCATCAGATAATGGGCTCCGTATTGAGCATTTTCTAACTTTACTAGAGATGGGTAGCTACACGGGATGTACATCTACCTTTTACAAATGAGTACAAAAATAGATTTTAGTAAGTGTCAAGGCCAGTCATATGATAATGCTGCCAATATGTCTGGCAAATACAAGGGTATGCAGGAAATAATATTAAAGATTAACAAGTACGCTATATGTATTCCATGTGCTGGTGGTAATTCCCCGAGTCTTGTTGGTAGAGCAGCAGTTGACTTATTTAGATGCAGTAAACATTTTTGGAATTGTCCAAAAAATAAATAATTTCTTTTCATCGTCTACACATAGAGGGGCAGTATTGTTGTCATTCTTCAAAGATGATTCAAAAGTTCCAAAGTCTTTGACAAAGAGTATATGGGAAGCACAAATAATTTCTGCATTGCATCAGCTGTATGTTGATGCTACAGAGAAAGGCGAAACAAGAAATTAATCCATAAAACTTTTTTAATAAAATGGAGGGGTTTGAATTTACGGTAATGTTATATTTGTAGATGAATTTCACAAGACTAGTCGATCAATGCAAAAACCCCAAATTAGTCTAGATGTATTTAGGAAATTGTATCCTTCACTTTTGGATTTTGTTAAAAGTTCCAGGGATATATACAATAATTAAAAAAAAAAAAAAAGCAAAGGAAAAATTACTGATGTTGATTACAAGAAAAGCAGGTATAGAAGAAGGCATATTAGTGATGATGAAGATGATGCTTTAGAGACTGTTGAGCCAAGAGACAAGTTCAGAATCAAAACATTTATACCTGTGCTGGATGCATTTGAGTCAAGTCTGGCACAGAGAGCCTCAGAATGCAATGATGATGCAAAAAAGGTTTCATTCTTAACAAAATTAGAAGCTGCTGAAGAAGAGATTTGTGAAGAAGTTAGTGCTTTATGCCAAACATATCCTGAAGATGTGGAGATGAATCTTGTAGAAGTCAAGCATTTTCATCATTATGTTAGACATAGTCAAGCCTATGTTTCAGCGGAACATGATAGTCTGACACATCAGAATCTGCATAGGGTATATTTAATGATCGTGTCCAATCAGTGCTCCTTAATGTAGAAACAATTTTGAGATTGTTTCTTAGTATGATGGTTGCAAATTGCTTTGGAGAAAGATCTTATTCTCAGCTGAAGAGGATAAAACATGAATTTAGAACGACAATTACTCAAGATAAATTATGTTTCCTCAGTCTCATGTGCATAGAAAGTGACAAACTACGCAGTTTATCATTTGATGATGTCATCAGTGACTTTGCTCTGGCAAAGGCAAGAAATAAAATATTTTAGTTTAACATAATTTAATTGTTAACGCTTATAACATGCTTCAAGAGATTGGATAAGCCTATGTAAATTGAGCCTTTTAAAAGGACTTTTGTTTCTTTTTAACAGAGTTTGCATTTTTAAGTTTGTTATGAATAAAAAATGATTTTAAAGATTTATTATTTCACTATCATCATCTATGTACTTTTTAATTGGATTTCAGTTTAACCCTTAAGGTATCTGGAATTATAACCCTCTGAGTGGCATGACCGGCGGCTTTATCCAGTCATGATATTTTTTGTCACTTGATATATATTAGTTTATAACTTAAGATATTTTACTTTCGTATTTCCTTTAATAATGTAAATATAATCTTAATTAATGCAAGTTTATGAAAATAGAGGCTAAAATAAGTAACTATATAAATTTAGCTAATAAATTCCGCATAAATATAGATCTTCATGACAAATAAAAAAAAAAACCATGCTGTTCAGAGGGATAAAGGGTCCCATATCTCAGATAGCTTAGGGCCTTATCAAATCTAAATCTGGCCTTGCTCAGGGATTGTTTTCTATGGGGATTATGGGTCCTGATATGCTCCCTGAAAACATTGCCCACACTATAATATCCCCGCTACCAGCTTCTCTCCAACCAACTGTGCATTTAGGAGCTAGGATTTTATTTGATAATTGGCATACTATCACATGTCCATCGATGTGATGGACCAGAAAATGTGGTTCGTCGGACCATGCAACTTTCTTTCATTCTTCTAATATCCAATTCTGATGTTACTTGGCCCATTGCAGATGCAGCTGGCGATGATGTGCTGTCGGTTCAGGGACATTCGGCCTCCGGCTGCATAGACCCACACCAAGCAATGCAGGCTGCACAGTGCATTGATAAACAGTCTCGGGTGCCACTCTTATAGGGTGGTGATTTCAGCTGTTGTAGTTCTTTAGTCATGGTGGACAGTGTATAGCAATCTCTGCTCTTCTTTGGAATCAATATGTTGATGACACACTGCTGGCCGGCGACTTGTGGTTTCACCTTCCATAAACCACTTTTGATATGGGTTCGCAACAACTGCATGTGAACAGCCTATTAAACACACTATTTCTAATATTGATGTTCCCACTCACAGAGCCATAACAATCTGACCTTTATCGAAATCAACTGCTTTTCCCATTATGTGTCCGATCTTGCTATGTTTGAAAAGACAATGCATAGCCGTTTTATATATTCCAACATCAGCCACACATACACAGTGGTTTTATTCCTGGGCAAGCCCATTTGTATAGATGGTGGGTGATCATAATGTAATGGCTCTTTGCTGTATAAGTATCCATTTAGTATGAGAATTTCTAAAGTGCTTTTGAAGAACTGATAGGTATAATTTGTTGCTTGAAGATTTGTGAGCATTGTTATTTAAAACTTCTTTTCTTTTTTTCTTTTGCTTTCATTGCCATAGGCATCTAGCCAAGTAAGTTAAAGTTAAATGTATTTTGATATAAGGTTTGTTTTTGTATATTTTTAGAATAATTTGGAAGTTAATGAGAAACTAAGAAATGGGAATTCATATGCGAACCAGTAGTAGCCTAAATAACTTATATATTGTGAACATACAGCAGACCGAACAATGCCTAGATGTATTATGGAAAAATTTCTATTAGTATTTAACCCTTTATAGGCCCTGATTATAAAATATACTGTTAAGTTTGCCAGTTTTTTAACCTCATAAAGACACTTTTTTTTTAAACATCAAAAGGTGTAACCTTGAGATTCTAGTGATTTTTTTAACTGTAAATGACAGCTCTATACTATGAATGCTCAATATTTTGTGGTTACTAAAATAATGTATCTCATTCAAAAGTCTCTTGTTTGAAGATTCATAAATTGTATTAAAGAAGGGGGGTTCAAAAATCTGCAAATATTGCATTTCAAAGAAAACTGATAATTAAAATTGATTATTTATATGATTATATAACTGGTACATAAATTATACTAGCACCCATACTGTGGGTACTTTGCCAATAGATGCTAGCACAGGGCTTCTCCTTTCTCTCTGGGATGAGAGTGTTTATATTTTAGTTTAATAATCTGAGAAAATTAATTACAAAACAAATATTGAAAAGATAATTTTTATGCATGTTGGGTCATGCATTCCAGAAAACATCTATACTGTATTTAAAATTCTTTTATTGTTATAAGTTATGTAAATTTTCCTTGTAAACAGATCATGGAAAAGTCTACTTTTTGCGGGGGGGGGGACTTTCATTACAAATATATTATGATTTTCAGTACATATTTCAACTTTATAACTGTCAAATTTTTAAAAATTTTGTATAAAATTAACAAAATATTATACTACAACCTGTGTTTGCAAAAAATTGGAAAGCTTGGCCCCAATAAGCGAAAAAAAAAGAACTTTGAATTGTGTCGCTGTATAATATTTTTTTAAAAAAAGAAATTCTAATTTTTCAGCGTAGTTAAATTTCCTTGAAATATTGTGCTAGTTCAGTAACAATATAGTACAGTTTATGCATGCAGTGTTATATTTGTTTAATTTTTTGATAAAATATTGAATCGCTTTCAAAAGCTTTTTCACATATTTTACATAAGTATGTTCATCTGGGGTGGGGCATTATCAAAATGCCTAAAAAAATAAATTTTATTTCTAAAATTTTAAAACTCTGACTCTAAAATTAAATAACTTCATTTATGTACGTGTACCCATTTCTCTATATGATAATCAAAGTATGCAAAAATAGATTTAAAAACAAAAATTAACAACTGGCAGCTACATGGAAAAACGTACTTTACAAGGGCAATGAGGATTTCACTCTAGATTATTTTTTAAACTCAATTTTGTGTTCTTTGGGTCCATAAGTTATAATTCATGCACAATTTTACCACAGTTCTTTTACATACCACCTCCAAAAGAGTTGAAGAAACAGTATTTTTATTTTTTCTTTGTATGTATTTTATATAACCATTTTTTGAAATTGAACTTTGTGTGGGTAAACTGTGTGAAAAATTAAAAGCTGTAGAAATATTTCTTTTCATCTCTCTGTAGTAATGTTAGTTAAATCGTAGAATAATGAGTTGAATGGATCTAGCATTGACATTATTGGATGTTTTTGTCTTAAATTGTGATGTCACGGAACTTTTTGCTTTGATGATACATTGAAGTAGTAGTATCTTTAATCATCTAGCACAGTTGTCCTTTTATTTATTTTTTAAATCGGGATTTCTGTTCATATTGTTACAGTTCAGGCTTTTAATTTTGAGGCTACTATGAATTAATATTGTTTTACCAGTGATTTGCTTTTGATTTGAAACATAATGTGCCGGTGGCAGTTGGAAACATTGATTTTTACAGAAATATACATATAATGTTATTAGACAGAATTAAATTCATTGTATCAAAATTTATTTATTAAAATATTATTAAAGCAACATAGCTGTGTATTTAATATAAAATACTTTTGGCTCCCAATTGATCGGGTGTACCTTCACAGTTGATTTGAGAAAACCAAAAAATATGGAAGGCAGTAAAGATGAATAACATATTCTCTATTTAAAAAAAAATAAGAAATGTAATTTTTAACATGTTTAATTTAGAAAATAAGTTAATTTGGTTACGTCAGTTAAACCAATTAAACAAAAGAACGTGCTGTAAATAATGCAAAAATATGAACATCATTAGAAAAGAGAGAAGTGAATTTTAAATGGCATTAAAGAACATTATTTGCTTAACTTGTTGTTGAGTTCAAAGTGTCATAAATGCTTATTAGCTCATTATTTTTATTGTACATTTATAAATTCTACATTACTGATATAGCCCACCAGCTGGCTGAGTTATAAAGTCACTGAATGCTGGTAGTTTGAGCCTTGCTGCATATGTGTTTTCATGTTTTTTTCTGTGTTTAATGTGGATGTGAGCCAGTTTCCTTTAGAAAGTCCTCTATGAAGATGTGCCTCCCTCAGATAACCCTTGTGTGCTTTGCTATAATCAAACAAACTAAAACAATCTAAATTATATATAATAAAATTACATGCTATTATGCATAAAAACAAATTTCAAATACTATCTAATAAAGGTGTATCCACATGCTAATTACATTAATGAAGAATGAAGCATATGTCACTAGCAGAAATTCATCCAGATGGAGATTGCAGCCACCTCAGCACCCAATTGGTAAAATTGCTGAATACTGGTATTCCAACCTCGATTCGATTTCAGGCGAACAGGTTGGTGGCATGTGGTTTTCCTCATATGTAATGCTTATATGAGACAGTTTGCCTTAGAAAGTATTCTAAGAAGGCATCTTAGCCCTTAGGCAGATAGCTCTAGTGTGCTTTGGCATAATCAACTAAACCAAACCAATATATATATATATATTTAAAAAAAAAAAAAAAAATCAGTATGTCATTTCAGGAAAAGTCTTATATCAAAATAAATATGTTAGACCAATGCTATATATAAATCATAATACACATCCTAAGTCACGCTTTCGAGACATGAAAAATGCAATTTGAATTTCGTCAATTGGCCCAGTAGAATGGGAGATTATAGGATTGCCCCCCTTTTTTGTGCAGAGTGTACCTTAAACATGATTTGCAAAAATGATTATCCATTTAAAATTAAGGGAAATTCTCAATAGTTAAATTTTATTCCATTCTAAATACTGCCAGATTATTAAGAAAGTATCTGAGCTAAATTTATCGATTAGCTACAATAATAATTGTTAAAAAAAATCAAGGAATGTATCAAATATTTTAGGCATAAGAGTGTGAAGTTTTAAGTAGATTAAATACAAATTATGACAACTTCCCAAATTCAATCACCTTATTAAAGTGTTATTCCTGCATATTTCCAGTCAGTCCTGCTGAATATGCCATATAATAATTCATCACAATCATTACTAACTTACCTCAGATTTATTCCTTTAATATATACCATCTGCTTATAGACAAGTTATGGGGATTTTTTGTATGGTTGGGCTATTAGTCTCAGTCCTCACTTTCATGTCCCAGTTTCTATTCATAGGATTTCACTGATGTATATTCTTTTGTCCAACAATAAATAAAGCAGACAGCTTTTGTGAATGAGATATGTGTATCCTCAAACAAGTTTTTAACCTAGATTAGAATCTAGGTGCACTTTGTTTGCATTGCATTTCCATAAAATTCAGTTGTTTAAGAAATACAACTTCATAAAGCGTGAAATTTTCTATTACCATGTTGCTGGACAAAATGCCATATTTCTGAAGAAATGCAGTGCTTTAAGAAATATTAATCAGAAAAATGACAATTGACTTTCAGAAGTGTAAGTGCACATGTGCTATGTATAACAGGGCTGCTACATAACTACTTTTTGGCGATATTGTCGGTTGCCTTTTGAAGACTTTTTATTAATTTTCGGTGGTTGTACTAGACGCAACCATAAAGTAACCAAATGTTTTTATTATAAAAATTGTAGTTCTAGAAAATTTGTTCATTATTAAACAGTTGTTGGAATTCTGCCATTAGCATAAATCATTGGCATTTTAATATGGTTTGTTTAATGCTATTTTTATTTTGTTTATATTTTTTCCTTTCTTTTTTAGAGTTTAGAACCACTGACATCTCCTGGAACTAATGAATTTGTTTAGGCAACAATTTAATCATTGACACTTATCACCTTCTGCTGAAGTGTGCAAGACTGTGTTCAGAACTCTTTACTTCTGCCTTGCTCATTCAGCATTAAAACTTTAGTGCTCATATGGCAGCTGGTTATTTTTCTTTGCTTCCAGAAATATAGTTTAGTGCGTGATACTATTTGCCGGTGACTCAGTTCTTAAACTGTGGTTGTGATCATCTGGAAGGCAAACTGCTATCTGGCACTTTTTTTTTTATACTGGTTGTTCCTAAAGCTCACACAATGAAAGTGTGATGAAAGCAAGGCAGATGCCTCATAATTTTTATTTAATAATACACAGCAGAAAGAATTAGCTGAGCTACAGTCTGATTCTGAAAGATTTGGGGAGGAAAAGCCTCTCAGGTAAAAAACAGCATTTGAGTTTATAATGTTACTTAAACAAGATAGCAGCAGTATTGGTTACTGAAACCAAATGGTATTTAATTTTAATTAAAACCAGCTTGAGTTGAAATAGGTTGGTTTTCTTGCCACTTATATCTTTTAGGCTTGGGTAAGATGTTAAATTTCTTTACATTCCAATCTGTGCCTCTTACATTAGCAAAATGTTTGATTTTGCATGTAACGATTTATAACTTATTAAGAAATTAAGTAGTGAATGAATTTAGTTTTCAAAACCCAAACAGTATTGATTGTATAGTGTAACAATGAATTATATATTTAGCATGCATGTCATTTCATTAAAAAAATTTTTTTTTTTTTTTTTTTTTTTTTTTTTTTATGAATTAAATCTATGTATAACTCTTTGTTAGTACTGACGTATCATGAGATTTTCTGTACTTTAATTCTTAAAATTGCTGTTTTTGTGGTTGTGAAGATATTTTATATATTTTTGGTTTTAATTTTATTTATCAAAGTATAAAATACAAAATGTTTTGTGATACTTTTTAAAAATATTTTATTGGTTGTACTGTATATTAAATAAATGTTAGTTATAAATATACCATGAATATTGCATATCAGTACTTGTTCATTAAAAAATGAGAGCCTTTAAAAATAAAATTAACACATTGACAGCCGTGGAAGGCACTCAACTTGGCTACAGCACCATGAGTGCCACTGGTAACATGACCAATAGTAAAATACTTAGAGTAAATATCCAAACTGATAAATTTTTAAATAGTACCATTGTTACTATAATGGTTTGAAGAATAATAAATCGTAAAAATTTAAATTGTAAATTGCAATAATGGTCTACAGAGCCCCACCATGAAAAATGCATTAAGCATGATTATATAACTCACATTATCTTCTGTAGGTAATATTTCGACATAATAAAAATTTCAAGTTGGCGTCATGGGCAAATCACGTAAAATGCACGCAGCAGTCAACGTGTTAATGAAATAGCAGTTCTGAGTCATCAAGTAAGTTAAATTTAAGCATGGGTAAATGTTCAGTTGACTCAGCCAAAACTGTCAACCAAATGCTAGTTTTTTTTTTTTTTTTTTTCCTTTTTCTTTTCTGTAATTGATCAATACTTTTATCAAGTTGGCATAAGGTTGAAAAGTTGGAACATTTAGGCAAAATTCTTAAACCAATTTTTATGACACAGCAAGGTCTGATTGCCTAGCAATGAAGCTCGGCTAATAGGTCTTATGACCTGAAAAGCATCGTGTGTACAGAGCCTAATGAATTGTAAAATTATTCTGTTTCTGTTTTGCCTAATAACTACATGAAAAATAATTAGAAGTATTTAAGAAAATATTTTTGTGCATATTTATAATGCAACAAAATAACAAAAATGCATACTATTATGCATTTTGTTAATTTTAATTCTGAAACATAGTTTTAAGTTTAAAATTTGTTGTACTGAAAAATTAAGTTTATTTGAATTTCATGCAAATTAAATTTTTGGTATTTTACTAGATTTTTATATTTACAGGCTCTTTTTGAATCTATTAAATGTAGTTTTTGTGCACTTTCATTTTTGAATTATGTAAATAATCTTGAATCTGCTTCAAAATGACATATTGCATAGCTGCCAATCTTGAAATATATAAAAAATGGGAGTTTCTGGCATACATGACAGCACCATTTAAAAACAAGTCAAAACTTGTTTTTAAATGGTGCTGTCATGTATGTCAAGATCTAAATTCACTTTTTAATATGATTTAGGTAGTTCTGTTATTTATAATAATGATCCTGATGTAAAATATATTCATGTTTAATTATATATTCTAAACTTTGTTTTTGGCTGATTACATCTCACAATTTTCTTTCACTTTTATACAGAGAAAATTCTAAGTAGGGTAATAAAGCTTTTAATTTATCAAAGTACTTTTAAACTCAGTAAAAATACAATTAATAATTCACGTGCAGTCTTTTGTGTGGATAAACATAGTAATTTGCCATATGTTGATTAAAATAATATTAATTCACATTTTTACTGATCAAACTTGGTTGAATCTTGGTGTAAAATATTGGGACAATTCAGATCAAATAAGATTTAATACGAAAAATCATGATCATTAGGGATAAAGAATGAAATTTTTTGGAATTAAATAATTTAAACTGTGTGAATTTTATTTGCATAATTTAATTTGATTTCTAGGAAGAAAAAATATCTTATTAGTAAAAATAGGGAGAATTAGCAGCTGTGCATATTTGTTAAATTATATTTCTTGCATATCTCGATGAATAGATAAGCTGATAAAAATTTAAAGTGTACTTAGTATTTAAAATGTATATATTTACTTGAAAATGTTCGTTATTATATACTAGTAGATTTTCTGTCATTAGTTACTTCAGTAAATTATAGATATTATTTGTATAGTTTTTGTGCATATTTTAAGATATGCTTTAATGTTACTTATATACTTTCTGAATTTTATACAGCTTTATTTCTACCATGTAAATCTTTTTTTAAAATTCAATTTAACATATTAATAATATGCATGCTCCAAATAACTAAAATAGGAAAAGATTTCATTGGCCTAAACACATGTATTTTTCTATGAATATTAGAAAAAGGTGGTTGCGAATATGCTCTCTGTCAGAATGTAAAGATCACAGAAACATTTTTAGATTACAAAAATAAAAATTTGTGGTTCATACATCACTGAACTCCAAACTAGTCATACTGTGAAGTTCTGAGCTGGATTCAAATTTCAGAAACAAGACTTGATATTTTGTCAGATGTACAGTTCATTGTAGCCTAACTATCTGTGATGGTTTACCCACTGAAACTTCATTTTGTGTGAACATGTTGTATAGCTAACAAATTGTCCTTTTTTAAAAAAGAAAAATAAATAAAGATGAAGAAGGTATGTCTGGTCTCTCTCTCTTTTTATGTCATGTCAATTTCATTAACATTGCATTTGAAAAATATTGCTACAGTGTTGTGTGAAAGTATGCAATGTCTGCCAAAGTAATTGGACCTTTTTCTTTCCAAAAATGTCAGTTTTTAAATGCACTCATCTGAAATTACAAGGCATGCTTTTCTTTGGAATATGTGTAGTCAAAAGCAATGTTATACAATTTATAGTTTCCCTTTAGCCGTGAAAATTACATGATAAAAGGCTTCAGAATGCTACCGAGTTTGCTAACAAAATCATCTATGGTAAATACAGTATGTAAACTTAAGACATTATTTTGCATATCATTTAAAAATTTCATATTCTTGATTAAATTTTTTTTATAATTAATGTAATTTCAAAATTTTTTAATCATATTCAAAACGTAAATTTTTAATTTACCACTAAATAAGAAGATAGTTAGAAAAGTTGCTGAAATAGTTGATTTAAAAATTTAGAGCATGTAACATTTTTACTGTAGCACAATATTATTCAAAGCATTACAGAATTCAGACTGAGAGATTTAATACTGTCAAACAATGCGTGATTAATCATACAGAATACTTGCTAATCCACTCCAATTTGTTGGATATAATGGGCAAATAACATTTAAGAAATTATTTTCCTTTAAAATCTATGAAAAATAAGAATTTAGTCTATTTTAGTAAGATAATACTTGCTAACAGAAGGTAATTTATGGTTATGATGGTCAATTAGTAATATGAAAAAACTGCAAAAACGGAGCATGGGGGAAGAGTTAATTTGAAGCTGTCATAGGCTGAAACTATAATCATTAGTTTATTGATGGTGTAATGAAGCAATATATGCATATTCACATTTTGAGCAAAAAACTTGATCCTATTTAATTACTCCAAATTCTATCAAGATAGCTTTAAGCATTCCGGTGTGAATATGATTTTGACTGCTGTTTCAACTGTCTTGAAGTAATCAAAACTGTCTAAACATTATATTTAAAGGTGTAAAGATATTTTGTCAGACTTCAGAAAGACTATCAGTTATAATGGCAACATTCAAGTATTTCTCTAATTGGAAGGAAAGCACTTGGTAGCTTAAACTAGACATTAAAACAAATAAAATCCATACTGTTTACAATTTTGCACAAGAAAGATAAAATAAATATATGTTTTTCCATGTTAATATCCCAGGCATGATAAGGTCAACTTTGTTGCACCTTTACTTGCAGCCAACTCTTCACAGCTAAACTTACTTTTGTTACAAACAGTGTAAATATACACATTATAGTATACTTTTTATTAATTTGTATTTAGGATAAAATATTGCATAAACTATGAACTTTGAAGCTGTAAACCAGGACATAAGAGAGAAGGACTAGCTCATACTGTTTGCACCTTATGTAAATTTTGATTTTGTTCTTTGCAAGAGGGCGCCTGCGAGCACTGAACTATATCTATTGTGCAAACTTGTTCTTCTCACAGCCAATAAGCGCAATAATGAACGTCCGTGTCTATTTTCCAGCCACTATACATGGTCCGTCGATAGCCAGCGCAATACTTTGGATGACGTGTCAAGGCATTTTGAACATTCTGGAATAGAAGGACATTTCGTGCAAAGAAAACAGATTTTTTTGTGTCTGGATTGTGAGAATAGCAGCCGGAATATGGAGTTTATTTTAAAGCAAAAGGGAATCATTAAGGGTAAATTGACTCACTTAATTTCACAAGTAAATAGTTTACAAAATCAAGAAAATTCTTTTTCTTTCACAAATTGCTTCCAGCCTGGCCCAATAGATATTCTTTTAGGCGCAGATATGTTTTGTGAGATAATGCTTCATGGACATTTAACTGTTTGAGGACTTTC